CATGAATTTTTTGAAGACTCCTCATACATACCTGTTGAATGGGCACCTTGGCCACTATTCTGAGAAGTTGCTAGACTTTCCTTGGGTAAAAATTCCACATCTACTGTGAACAGAACAGTTCAGCATGGGAAGGGCTGAGCCTGGAAGCAGTCACAGTGATGAGAGAGTCCAGGTACTTGGAGGAGGTGAGGATAGTGTTGATTCTCTGAAATTAAGATGGAGGTAGCACAGATCAGCAGAGGAATCTGGCTGAGGGAGCCAACACAATTTGTAGATATAATGATTTGTCACTTAAAAGTAATCTTTCCTGGGACTGGCAGGTGGTATGGTGGTTAAGAGCTCTGGACTCCCACATGGCCAACCACCATTCGAGTCCCGGACCTGGTGGTCCTGGGCCCCCCCTCCCCACCCTGCCTCTCTCTGATCAAATTAAAATAAATAAATAAAGTTAAATAAAATTTTTAAAAAAGTAATCTTTCCTGATTATAGGTTATTCTAGGTAATTTTAGTAAATACTAAAATAGAGTTAAAGAGACACACTGGGTCTTTTTCTTTCTTTTTTTTTTTCTTTCCTTTTTTTTATGTGGGGGAGAGGTTTTTGCTATAGGGCGCGTGCGCTCGCCAGAGAGACAGAAGGTGAGAAATTACCCTCCAGGGAGGATGGCCATGCCGGAATTCCTTCTCCTCCACTCTCCTCCCAGGATCCTGGGCATGCATGCACATGTGCCCTGTGTGAGCTTAAGCCACTGGGTCTGGGACTTGAATCACAGTCAACTACATACATGGGAGTCCAGCAACACAGCCATTATGCCAACTGCTGATCCCAATACACTGGATCTTTTTTTACCATTAGTTTTATTAGGGTAATTTCTGGATGGAGTACCCACAAAGGCAGGGAACACCGGGCATGTATATTTTTAAACAATATCCTAACATTTTCAGATAATACATTTGATACATTTCTTAGCCTCCAGATAGCCTTTCAGGTAAAGTACCTCTAAATTTAAAGCCAAGGGTCCAATTACTTTGAAAAAAAAAAAAAAAAAAAAAAGGACAATAAATATATTGGTTTTCTTTATCTTTTTATATACTCTCAGGTATGTGTTATATTGTGCTTTTGTAGAAATTGATACTTGAATCCATTGCTTTAAGTTAGAGATACTTCACTTCTAATCATATCAAACATGCTATGTAAAAATGTAAGTAACATACTGTTTTTAAAAATTTAGAACTATGGGGACCAGCAGTTAGCGTAATGGCTGTGTCGCTGGACTCCCACGTAGTCGACCGCGGTTCGCGTCCCGGACCCAGCGGCTTAAACTCACGCCAGGCGCGTGTGCATGTGTGCCCAAGATCCCAAGACGAGAATGGAGGCCCAGGAATTGAATCCACCCTGGGGGGTGATTTCTCACTTTCTATCTCTCTGTCTGGCGAGCGCATGTGCCCTATAGCGAAAACCTCTCAAAAAAAAATTTAGAACTATGAATGCATAATTTTTTTGTTTGTTGGGGGGCAGTGGGAGGAGAGAGGGAGAAGAGTTTTTTTTAAGGTTTTTGCCAGAGAGAGACAGTGAAAGGGAAAGTGAGAAATTATTCCTCCTGGCAGGGAAGGATGGCCGCGCCATAATTCCTTCTCCAGGGATTTGGGCACACTTGCCCATATGCCCAGCGTGATTTTCAGGCCCCCAGATCCAGGACTCAAACTGTGGTTGGCCATGGGGGAGTCCAGTACCTTAACCACCATATCACCTGCTGACCCCCAATATATGTAGTTTTAAAAGCCAAATAATAATAAAAGATTTACCATAAAATACAATGGATCCCTACTCTCCTAGAGACTACCCAATCCCAGAGGCAACTACTTTAAAATGTTAGTTGTTTATTCTGGTGTTTATTCATACCAATATTTGCAGATGATATGCATAAACTCCTATCCTTTGGTTCATCAAATTTAAGTATTGTGTCTATTAAATTTTTGTTATGATAAATGAGGGTTTAGGACTCATATATAACTTCCCTCTCTGCTTTTGCACCCCAATCCTTCCAATCCAGTTAAACTATAATTTTTGGTTATATTACTATTTGATCCTTTGTTATTATGTCCAGTTAGTTATTACAGATGAGTATACTAGTACACTGTGATTTGACTTTTTTCCATTGGACTTTTTGTTTTTCCTAAAGTTAATACTTAGCTTTGTTTTGCATTTGCTTTATTCTCTTGTGGCTTTTGCAGTGCCTATGGGTTCTTTGACAAGTGGCTATGAATTGTTCATGTTGTGCTTAAATTTTTTTAAATTTCAAGTTATTAGTATGAAGTCTGAACAAGGAAAAAGGTGCACACAATTTGTTCTCCTCTAACATACCACTGAAGTATTACTGACTCTCCCCCACCTACTAATAGCCCACATTGGGATTGTCAAACAAGGTTTTCTCTTCTGTTTTTTTTTTTTTAAATAATTTGTTTTTGGCCTAGCTTTGGCAGCACAGGTGTTAGAGTGCTACTGTGCAGCACTGGAACCGTGTGAGAAGGCCCTGGGTTTGAATTCTAGGGTGACCTGAACATGCCAGCTACACCCATGGTCACATCCATGACCATGGCTGGCTAGGATGCTGAAGGTAGGGGGTGGTGAGGATCATGGCAGGGTTTTCCTGCCAAAGGTACTACTCCCTATCTCTCACTCTTTCTCTCTCTTGGAATAAATAAACTAAGAAATAACTTTGTTTTGTAAGAGGACATATTTGCTCTGATTTTTGGATTGAACCTTTCTTTCAAACCCGTGAAAATTTTCATAGGCCTTAGGAATTTTGTCTGCATACTTTTGCTTACAGAAAGAAGCGATTTCACCATTGAGGTGGGTTCTGTCAGAGGTGTACAGGGACCTGGTCAAAAAGAAAAGGTGAAAGTTACACAATCTGCTTTGCTGGAGGAGGGTGAGGCTGTTGCTGAGAGGCAAGGAGGGATCTAATGGTAAAACTATGGTGATCTCATGCCAGGTGCATCTAGGTGCTGATAGGCTGTCAGATTTCTTTTTGAGGGCGGTTGTTTGACCTCGTGGTCAGCTGGAGTCCTGTTCCATTTCCCTAACTGGCATGACTACCCATGTTTGGCACTTCAGCAATGCCTGGCACCATGCGTGCCAAGCAAGGGCTAGGTTGACATATTTTGACCTGCTTCTCGCAGAGCATATTCATAGAGTTGAGAGTTGGATGTCACTGGAAGCTGGGTCTTGACTTTGTCATAGGCTGATTGGCCCTGGAAGGTATTTGAGAAACTGGCCAGAGTTCATTTCCTGCAGAAGTTGATAAGTGACCCACCCCTACAGGTATCTTCAAGTTGACTGGGACACTGCTATGACAATTGGTATTGGAATCTTCTGTGGCAATGCCTGACTTGTAGGCTGGGGGTGGGGCACCACAATACTTCTTGCCTTTGCCCACCGCTGGGGCTGTTCTGAGCTTAGCAGTGATTTGAGGTCTAGAGGGTGTCCCTTACTTTGCCTTCTCTTGTATTAGTTCACAGCCGAGATCAAGCAGCCCCCATTCTGTAGTATATCTTACAAAAAGGCTTCAGAACTTCTGTTTCATTGATGGCCTCTTTCCATCACCCCACTCTGTGCAGAGCTATAACAGACATTTTCTTTCTCTTTAAAAATTTTCTTTTCGGCATAGTGGTATGTCATATTGGTCTATGAGGCTAACCCAGGTGGGAAGGTTCTGGGTTCACATCTGGAGACCTCCCAAGTACACAGTCACACATGTGCCCACGATCCAGGGCTGACTGAGGCTGGAGATGGAGCATAGTATCAGGACACTTATAGGAGTGCTGTATCTCTTTTTCTCTCTCTCATAAAAAAATAAACCTCAAAAGATTTTTTTTTGTTCATTTCAATGAGAATTTGGTAGGGATGTCCAGTCCTGTCATTTGAACCAGAAGTCCAGAAAAGTGCTTCGATTCTAATGTTGTAATTCTGGGTATTGTGTATGACATTGATATAGCCCTTATGAACTGCAGACAAGTCTTAAAAAACTGTTATAATCTGGCAACTGAGGGTACTAGCAGTTGGCATAATGGCTATGTCGTTGGACTCCCATGAAGTCGACCGTGGTTTGAGTCCCGGACCTGGTGGCTTAAACTCACACTAGGCGTGTGTGCGTGCCCAAGATCCTAAGAGGAGAATGGAGGAGAAGGGATTGTGGCGTGCCCATCCCCCTGGGGGGGGTGATTTCTTGCTTTCTGTCTCTCTGTCTCTCTCTGTCTTTCTGGCGAGCGCACATACCCTATAGCAAAAAAACGCTTAAAAAAAAATTCTGGCAACTAAGACTCCAGTAGTTTAGAGCGCCCCTCTTCTGATCGCATGCTGCCGTGTTGGCTTTCTGGAAAGATTGGTGAAGTTAGTAGTAATTCTAAATCATAGCAAAGGGAAAGTTAGGAAAACCCTGTTTTGTTTTAAAGTAAAGATGAGGAAGAATCTGTAGAGGGAATACCCAGTTGCTGTTGTTGGGCGTGATGGTCTAGACTTCTATCCTTGCATAGTGTTTCTGGATTTTTGGCGAGATTGTTTCAATAAGGCTCTGACACTCAAAAATGATCATTTTAAGAAGTGAAGTTTCTGTTTCTCTAGAGTCTCTTCTCCAAGTGGGAACTGTAGACTGCCTGCAATGGAATTTTGAGCAGAAAGGGACTTGTTTAAAACTCATGCTTTCACTGCAGATCTACTGAATTAATGGTTTGTCTGGTGAGTCCCAATAGTAGCATTTTGAATCAGCACCTTTCAAGTTAGAAAACCAGGATCATAGATCATTGGGTTTTGTTTTGGGTTGCTATTTTCTGTGAACTTTTTCTCTGGTTTTGTTAATACTGTTCGCTGACATAAAAATTGGCGAAGTTTTCCCCTGTCATTTGTTTTCACCTGTTTTGTTTTAAACTCCAAACTAATAGTTAATTTTATGAGTTACTTTTCATTTGTGGATTTCTTACTCTGAAACTTTTCTTTCCCACAGAGCCGAGAAAACAGAAGTCCTCAGTGAAGACCTGTTACAGGTAACAAAATACATTCTTTTTAAAGTGTTTGGGTTTTTTTAAAAAAAAAAAAATAATTAATTAATTTATTTTTTGGAGAGATTTTTGCTATAGGGCGCGTGCGCTCGCCAGACAGACAGAGAGAGATATAGAGACAGAAAGCGAGAAATCACCCCCCAGGGGGGATGGTCACGCCGCAATCCCTTCTCCTCCATTCTCCTCTTGGGATCTTGGGCACGCACCCACACATGCCCAGCGTGAGATTTAAGCCACCGTGTCTGGGACGCAAACTGCGGTCGACTACGTGGGAGTCCAGCGACATAGCCATTATGCTAACTGCTGGTTCCCAAAGTGTTCGGTTTTTAAAGACATTGAAAGAGAAAAAAATCCATAGGTGAGAATTGAAGGTGGTGTTATGTGTTTGTTTTGCCTGAAACAGAGTCATATTAGTTAGCATGGTTTTGAGCAAGAAAGACAGGGAGTTGTGTTACATGTTGATAAAAAGGGGACCTGAAATCTAGGTACCTGAGTTCAAATCCCAAATCTGCTTCTGTTCAGCTTCATGGCCTCAAGGATCACTTGCCCTCCATGTGCCTCAGTTTCCACTTTTCTAAAATGAGGATGATGGCAACATCCATTTGTAGGATTGGTAGGAGGATTCAATGAATTAAAATGGGAAGCACTGGCAAGTGATAAGAGCTAGGTATTAGTGATTTGTATTATTACCACTATTACAGGCCATAAAGATGATTTGTTTCTGATATGTTTCTTTCCTTCCTTTTAAAAAAGAAAAAAATTATTGGGACCAGCAGTTAGTGTAATGGCTATGTCGCTGGACTCCCATGTAGTCAACTGTACTTCGAGTCCCGGACCTACTGGCTTAAACCCACACTAGGTGCAGTGTGTGCATGCCTGCCTAAGATCCCAAGAGGAGAATGGGAAAATGGAGAAGGGATTGCGGCGTGGCCATCCCCCCTGGGGGATGATTTCTCGCTGTCTCTTTGTCTCTCTGTCTTTCTGGCAAGCACACGCGCCCTATAGGAAAAACCTCTCAAAAAAAATTATTGAAAAATTTTTGAACAATTAAAAAAAAATTAATTTTTCTGATCTGAGGAAACCAGATGTGAACCTTCTCTTGCTTTGTTCTGGATTCTTCCGTCTCTTTTCTGAGATTTCTGTTAGAGTAGATCAAAGGCTGTCATTTAGTTTGGTTGTTTGGAGTTTGCCCTGGAGGATATGAATCCCAAGAGGGTGGAACCAGAATGTATTTACTGTTGTTTTCCTAAGACCTTACACAGGGACTCAGTAGATTCTTATCTTTGCAATAGATGTTATGTGAATATTTTCTGGTCCTGTGACACTATTCTAGGCACTTGGGACATATCAGTGAACAAAGCAGACCAAGGTTACTGTCCTGGTGGAGTTCACAATCCGGTGGAAGTGGGAATTGAGTTTTATCTTGTTGGTTGGTTAATTGGTTGTTCTGCTCTTGTAGCAAATGAAGAATGTAAACAAATTAGTTTTCCAGTGTTATAAAAAGTCAGTCACTATAGGGAGCCAGCAGGTAGCATAGTGGCTAAGGTGTTGGACTCCCACATGACTGACCATAATTTGAGTCCCAACCCAGCGGCTTGAAAATCATGCCTGGTGTGTGTGCGTGTGTGTGTGTGTGTGTGTGTGTGTGTAGGTGTGTGCTCCAAATCCAAAATCCTGAGAGGAGAATGGAAGAGAAGGGATTGTGATGTGGCCATCCTTCCTGGGAGGTGATTTCTCACTTTCCCTCTCACTGTCTCACGCCCTATGGTAAAAACCTAATGAAAAAAACCCAGCCACTATAACACTCTGGGAAGGTGATGGCATGACAGCATCTGCTCCTGCCATAAACTTGCCTGCCAGATTGGAGTCCTGAGAATCAGGGCTTGGATCTGAAGGAAAGGTGAGGGTGCTGGGAAGACCTTTGATAGAGACACAAACTCATCTCAGTGGGGTCAACATGTATTATGCTTTGAATTTGTTGATTTTTCTTTAAAATAGAAAGCATCCCCAAGGGCCTGCTTTCATTCTTCATGAGTCATCAGAATACACATTTTTGGCATTCCTTCCTGGAAAAAAGCAGCTCTCTTTGCCATAAACAGCCATATCCTAGCAGTAGTATTTTGGGAAGCTACACACAATGCGTCGGTCCCCTAAGCTGGTATTTCTTACTTCTGGCTGTCTATTCTGCTTTAGTGGTTTATTAAAGCAAAAAAACAAAAACAAAAACACAAAACAAACAAACAAAAAAACAGGGACCAGCCCTTAGTATAATGGCTATGTCGCTGGACTCCCATGTAGTCGACCGCGATTCGTGTCCCAGACCCGGTGGCTTAAAACTCACGCCGGGTGCGTGTGTGTGCGTGCCCAAGATCCCGAGAGGAGAATGGAGAAGAGATTGTGGCGTGGCCATCCCCCCTGGGGGGTGATTTCTCGCTTTCTATCTCTCTGTCTCTGTCTGTCTGGCGAGCGCACGCGCCCTATAGCAAAAGCCTCTCAAAAAAAAAAAAAAAGAAAGAAAAGAAAAGAAAAACAAACAAACAAAAAAAACAAAGCCCTTCCCTAAACCCAATGAGGAATGGTGTTGAAAGCATATCCTGAATTTAAATTTGGATCACTGACGTGGGTTCTACTGTCTGCTCTACCATGCACGGAAGGCTCCGTTTCCATGAGCTGGTGAAAGCTTCTGGCCACCCCAGTTGATTTTCCCACTTGGCAGTGGGTCCAGGCCCAGACTGTCCCTTTGCAGTTTTGCTTGGTTAGACTTGGGGCTTAGCCAGTGCTGTAGTGTATAAATTGACTGCCAGTATTCAGGCTGATCACAAGTTTTAGTCAAGACTATGCCCTCTCCCTGCACATAGACCCAGCCTCACAGGGATCTAAAACTATAAAGGAGGTCAGTGGTTCTCACCCAGGAGTGATCTTGCCCTCTACAAGATTTTTGACAATCTAGGTGGGTGAGGCGGCACATGTTTATAATCCCAGCTACTTGGGAAGCTAATCACAAATTCAAGGCCAATCTGGGAAACACAGTAAGACCCTACTTCTGAAAAATAAAAAATACATATATTTTTAAACCGGATATTTGACTAAGTCTGGAGACATTTCTGGTTGTCACAACCGAGAGAGTGGGAGGCTATTGGCATCCAGTGGACAGAGGCCAGAGGTGCTGCTCCATGTAACATGACACACAGGGCATCATCCCCCCGCATCCCAGACTTAGCCAGCTGCAATGCCAATAGTGGGGATCTCTGGTGCAGGTGACTGGGGACCATTTCCATTTCCATCTGAGAGTTAAACAGTCTGTGGGATATTTTTCCTAACTATATGTAAACAGCTCAAAAGGGAGAGTCCGCTTTGTCCTTTAGCCCTGCACATGGTTCTTCTGTCTCTGCCTTTGCAGATTGAGCGGCGCCTGGATACAGTGCGGTCGATGTGCCACCATTCCCATAAGCGCCTGATAGCGTGCTTCCAGGGCCAGCATGGAACTGACGCAGAGAGGAGACACGTGAGTATCAGATGGGGCTCAGAGCCACGGCTCCAGTGTCTCTCTGAGGCTGTTAGCCTCCTTTGTTGGTTGGTTTTTCCCAAACAGCATGAGCAGATTTGCTTCTGGATCGGTACCTTCTACCACCATCACCGCTCTTGACACCTGCCTGACCACAGCATTCCTTTGTGCTTAAGACATGGCCAGGCTGAAAGCCCTGCCCACACACAAGCTTCTCCTGGTGGCGTTAAAGACTTGATGAACCATTTGTCATTGATCAGAGAATAGACCTGTCCATTAGGAACACTTTGATAATGAGTAGCTGAAAGTCTGTCTTAAATTGACTTTGAGAGTAGAAGCAATTTATTGGCTTGCTGAACTGGAAAGTCCAGAGATTGGGGTGGACTGGAAGTAAGGGTTGGTCTAGCATTTTAGTGATATAACCGAAAACCCAGCTTCTTTTTTTTTCTCTCTCTTATGCCGTTTTCAGTGTCTGCCCTAGACAGGCAGTCCCTATAGTTGCAACTAGACAAGAGGAGAGCTTCCAATGCTCCCTTGCTTCCTTATGTGTGTTCAACAGGAATAGAGATTATCTTTTCCAGTGGCTTTCTTAATGGAGTGGAGAAACTTCTTTTTCCATGCCTTTGGGAGATAGAAATCTCTTTGTATGAGTCTATGTCTAGTCATATTTCCCAATCCTGAATATTCCCATTTCACCCCCAGATTACCCCAGGTTAGGATTGAGGTTGGATGAGGACATGGGATATGCTGGCTTAATCTGGTTTGGTCCAGCCTTAGAATATGGGGTCACAGGCTTTATTGAGTCTGAGATAGGTTCTTAAGAACAATCAGGACAATGTTATAAAAAAGAATATGGGTGGACTCTAAGGGAATCATCAGATGTCTACTCCAGAGTACCTTGGTTCAGAGTGTTCAGGTTCCCAGGTGCCATGGTAGAGCATAGCAGCTTCCGTTCATTAGGCAGTTCCACCTTTGCTTTGACGAACTCCTAGCTTATGAGCATGCGCTAACTCTTAGAGCCCACGTCTCATACTTTAAGAGTTTCACTGGCACACAGAGAAGCTGTGATTTGCTACACTGTTTATCATCAGATGCCCTCAAAGAGCTAACCAGTATGCAGAAGATCTGTGTCACCCTTCATTTAGACATTTCTGGGGCACCTTGACAACAGCGTTATTCCTCTCTTGCACAATAGCTAGGATTCTGCAGTTGTGTACATCAAAGGGGTGGAAGTTTGCATACACCTACGATTCCAGGAATGCTGGCTGCAGGGTCCCTCAGAACCAGACTTGATCCACTGGTTCTGCTCCGGCTGTTCCTTCTCATTCCCCTGCAATGGTTTCTGCTCTGTTTACCCCTTTAATGTTGTTTCCTAAGGTTTTCTGCCCATCTTCCCTGTTCTTAAAGCCATATGCTCTGGACCATGTCTTTTGTTCTTGTCCTTTTAACCAATTTGTTTATGTCAGTGACTTCTAAACCATTTTCAACGAAGCAAAGAACTTCTTCCCCTAGATGTGGATTTTAGCATGCATAGCCAGTTCTGTGTTGACTTTCTGGAATTCCATCTACCCTATTATGCAAGCTAGAAACTTTTATTTCATCCTCCACCCTGCCCTAGCTGCTGATTAGCAAGTCTTCTGATCCTCATTGTGAATATTTCTAAATCCCTCACCTCCTCCCCATTCCCACCATCTCCCCCTTAATGCAAGACCTGATTACCTCCCACCTGTAGTCATGTCCTGAACTACATTTCCTGTCTCTAATTTCCCTCCTTTCCAGTATGTCTTCATCTTGATCACCAGAATCAATTTCCTGAAATAAAAATCAGTCTTGTCATCTTCCTCTCTGGAAAAAAAGAAAAGCTTAGTTGATCCTCACAGGGACTAGAATTACATCCCTGAGGGCTATTTGGAAATGTTTGGAGACAGCTTTGGTCTGTTTTGAGACACTGCTGGCATTTGGAGGGTGAGAGCCAGGATTGCTAAACATTCTGTAGGGGCTGAAGAATCTTTCCACCCAAGCAGGTGTCCTTCAATGCAGGTAGTATTTCTTTTGAGGGACACTGACTGGTTCCTGTTGTCTGCTACAAAGCCCATGCTCTTAAGCATGACTTCATCCCTTTCTAATCTGGTCCTGTATTACCTTATCAGCCCCACTGTCTCCTGCTTCCTCTCATTCACGCTCTATTCCATGATACACAACAACCCCAGTGTATCTACCCTATGCAGGGTTCGAGTTCAGGACCTACCTACCCGCTCGTTTTATCATTGTCCTTCACACAGTTACATCATGTTGACACTGAATTAGCTCTGAGGCAGCCCAAGTGTCACCTGTATTCATTAAAAGCAAATTAGGAGATTTGACTCTATAAGCCTATGGAAGGGGCCCACAAAGACCCTATTTGCCAAGATGGCGCCAAAAGCAAAGAAAGAAGCTCCTGTCCCTTCCAAAGCTGAAGCTAAAACAAAGGCTCTGAAGGCCTAGAAGGCAGCACTGAAAGGCGTTCACAGCCACAAAGAAAAAGATCTGCACATCAGCCACCTTCTGGAGGCCAAGACACTGCGGCTGCAGAAGCAGCTCAGATATCCTTGGAAGAGGGCCCCCAGGAGAAACAAGCTTGACCACTAGGCCATCATCAAGTTTCCCCTGACCACCGAGTCTACCATGAAGATGGAAGACAGTAACACACCTGTGTTCATTGTGAATGTAAGGCCAATAAGCACCAGATCAAACAGACTATGAAGCTGCTCTGTGATATTAATGTGACCCTAATCCAGCCTGATGGAGAGAAGAAGGCAGATGTGTGACTGGCTCCTGATTACGCCGCTTTGGATGTTGCCAACAAAATTGGGATCATCTAAACTGAGTCCAGCTGGCTCATTCTAAATACACACTTTTTCACCATAAAACACTATTAAATATTTATCAAAAACCTACTACGTATAAGTGTTTTAGAGATTGAATAAAGCATAAGTATTCATGGCCTGGTGGGGAAGATACACACAAATGAACAATTACGAAACAATATGCTAGAGGCCGGCAGGTGGCGTGGTGGTTAAGGGCGCTGGACTCCCACATGGCTAACTGCAGTTCGAGTTCAGGACCTACCTACCAGCTCGTTCTCTCACTTTCCTTCTCTCTCTCACTCTGTCCCTCTCTGGTCAAATTGAAGGAAAGGAAGGAAGGGAGGAAAGAAAGAAAAAGTTAAATAAAATAATTCTTAGGGAAAAAAAATATGCACGGTACATAAAACATGCATAAAATGTGCATGCTACATAAAATATGCACGCTGCATAAAATATACAGGAGGGCCGGGAGCGAGATAGTAAAGTGAAGCTTCCTGGAGGAGACAGTACCTGAGCTGTAAAGGAGAACAATAGTGATGATATGAACATTCCAGGCTACAGGGGCAAAGGTGCTGGACCCTCATTTCTAAAACCTAATGCCTTAGGTTTCCTTTTACAGCCTCAAGCAAAAGTGTCAAGATGGGGCTTGGAGAATGAGTACACTTTGCACATAGGGAGAGTCATCATGGCAATGATGGGAAAAGATAGGTGACCACAAGAGATCATGGGACCTAGAGAAAATCACAGCAGTCTCTAGGGCTCTAGGAAGCACAGGCAGAGCCTCCAAAGGCCTCACCAGAAGCTCCCTGCATGTGAGGAGGCAAGAAGTACAGGGATGAGAGAGGGGACGGTTACCTTCTCATGTCAAACCCCCATCCATATGGCAGTTTGTGTCATGGGTCAGATTAGATCTGGCATGATTTCTTTTCTGTGCTTAGCATGCCTTTTACAAATTGAGACTTTAGAGCTCTGTAAATGCATCCTTAGTGATAGAAAAGCTGTTCACTAGGACCAAGAGATGGCAAAATGGTAGTCAACCATGGTTCAAGTTCTGGACTCGGTGGCTTAAAACTCATGCCAAGCACGTGTGCATGTGTGCCCAAAATCCCGATAGGAGAATGGAAGAAAAGGGATTGGGGCGTGGCCATTGCCCCGTGGGAAGGGGTGGAGGGAGGTGATATCTCGCTTTCTCTCTCTGTTTTCTCTGGCAAGTGCATGCACCCTATAGCAAAAATCTCTATCAAAAAAAAAAAAAAAAAAAGAAAGAAAAGAAAAGAAAAAGTTGTTCACTCTCAAGAAGCCCACAGCCTTCTCTGTGGTGGAGTTGGATGTTGATAGACACCTTCTTCCTTAACAAGCTCTTGTGTTAAGCAGAATTTCCTTGTTTATGTACATCAGGAAACAGTTATTGTGGCTTTGGGGTCAGGGCATGGAAACCACAGGCTGTTTACAAATGGAATCTTGAATGGGACCTGTCAAAATAGATTCCAGTGATTTTTTTCCCCCATAGACACATAAGAATTCAAGAGTTGTTCAGAGTATATTTCTCTTGGTTATTGCATTTATTTTACATTTAACTTCCTTTAGAAAGGTGACATCACTAGACCCAGCCCAGGTAGCACATGCTGGATGATGCTGCTATTCAGCAGGCTGAGGGCACTCAGGAGGCCTGGATTCCATTCGGGACTCACCCTAAAAGCCTGGTGCAGTGACCCATGCCTATAATCCCAGCAGCTCAGGAGGCGGAGGCAGGAGGATCACAACATAGCAAGACTCTGTCTTAAAGAAAATCAAAGCCAAAAAAGGCAGCATAACTAAAGCATGTAAATTATCCTCTATTATTCTCATATCTTCCTAGTCTAAAAGCATAACAACCGGGTATGGTCTTCTTATGGGCAGATAGGACTTGTTATTTATTTGTAAAAATCTTGTGGGGAGGTGAGAAATGTAAGCATGTTTTATTATTATTATTATTTATTTATTTATTTATTTTTGTAGAGGTTTTTGCCTTAGGGGGTGTGTATTTGCCAGAGAGATAGAAAGGGAGAAATTGCCCTCCCTCTCCCTGGGGGGAGGGGGATGGCAGTGCTGTAGTCCCTTCTCTTCCATTCTCCTCTTGGGATTTTGGGCATGCATGCACACTCACCAAGTGTGAGTTTCAAGCCACCAGGTCCAGGACTAGAACTATGGTTGGCCATGTGGGAGTCCAGTAATGTAACTACTATGCCATCTGCTGGCCTCTTGTTAAATTTTAAATTTCAGTGTACTGTTTTGAATAGGTTATAACTTTACATGGTTAAACTTCAGACAGTACTACACAACACAAAGTGAAGTCTCTCCTAGCCCTGTTCCCTAGGTGCCCAGCTTCTCCCCAGAACCACCAGTATGAGCAGCTTCAGAAACACCTTGTACCCTACTATACCTTACAAGCCAGTATATGCATCAGTGTCTCAGAAGGAGTTTTTCAGACACAGAAAAGCCAGGTAATATGCCAAGATGGACTGTAAGTCTTTGACATGGATGCCTTTTTGACTGGGAAGGCAAAATTACAGGCAGTGATGCGGAATCAAAAGCATTTTTTATTAGCAGATTACAGTTTCATAATTAACCTGCTCATTACTTTCTAGGTCTCACCCACCCATATTGTACAGGAGGCATCAGACAGTGGTATAAACACTGAACTGGTGCTTGAGTGGTTGACCCTGAGCTCTGACTTTCTTGTTGCCCCACGCTGGGGTGTTCAGCTGGGCTGCTTGACCTCCCTGGGCTTCAGGGTCTTTGACTGTATGATTAGAACATTGGCTCAGGTGATCCTGTGGTTATTATGAGCTGGAAAACAAACCTCTGGTAGGAAAATGAGCAGCTTTGTATCTGAAAATATTACAAAACTTTTTTGTATATTTAGGTATTTAACTAAAGCTAAATCTTCAGGCTTATAGCCAAATTAAAAGCTAGTTTTAAAATGAGTGTTTTAGCAAATGTTTTTGAAATTGAGGGTTTCATGGCATCTATTTGTTGTAATAATCACTTAGAAAGCAAGGTCTGGGTCTTATGTCCCAGGGGCTGGGAAATATTATGCACTTGATTAATTAATAATAGTTTTAATAAGGACTGGCTGGTGGCATGTGAGTGAAGTGTTAGATTCCCGCATGGCCAACCATGGTTTGAGTCCCGAACCTGGTGGTTTACTTTCTCATTTCCCTCTCTCTCTGTGGTGAGCACATGTGCCCTGTAGCAAATTTAAAAGTAATAATAATAATGATAAATAAAATTAAATAAGTAATTCTTTTTAAGAGAAACTCTAAAAAAGTTGTAATATCAACAACAATAATAATAGCAGCTAATATTTACTGAGTACGTCCATGCACTACCAGATCAAATAATAATGAAAAAAAAACAAACAAACTGATTTTTGCCTTCTAGAAAAAGCTCCCCCTGACAGCTCTGGCTCAGAATATGCAAGAGGCATCCACTCAGCTGGAAGAGTCTCTCCTGGGGTAAGAGTCTGCTGCTTGCATGGTTTCAGGTTCCTAGGGGTTGACGGAAGTGGGTGGGTTGGGTGGTGCACACGTCAGCCACCCGTGGGACCACCAAGAATATGATGGTGTGGCCTATCTGCAGGGAGACTGTGGGAAGAGGTGGGGTCGAGGTCACTGCTTCGTGGGAGAATCTTTGAGTAGGAACCAGGAAGGAGTCAGATGTTAGAAAGGGCTGCCAACCAAAGTAACTGATGGAGTCAGTATTTATTCCCCCAAAATTGATATGAAGGACGTGATCCCTTCCTGGTTATAGGTGTTGATACAGATCTGTGAATTCTGACCAGCTCCTTTCAGCCCCTAAGACCCACTTCATTAAAGGGTGTTCACCCAAATGTCAGTTGTCTTAACAGAGTATGCACACAGTTCCAAACTTAGGATGATTCGACTTAGTGATTTTTTAACTTTACAGTGTGCAAAAGCAATACACATTCAGTAGAAATCATACTCTGAGCACCCACACAATTGTTCTGTTTTTCATTTTGGGTACAGTACTCAATAAATTATGAGAGCTATTCACATGAGTATAAAATGGACCTGGTAGATAATTTTGCCCATCTGGCAGCTAATATAAGAGTTCTAAGCATGCTTAAGGCAGACTAAGCTAAGCTATACTATTCAGTAGGTTAGGTGTATAAATCCCTTTTCCATTTATGACATTTCAGTTTACAGTGGGTTTATTTGGACATTACCCCATTGTAAGTCAGAGAGCATCTACATTTGCTCAAAATTTGGATCTCTTTTTTACCATAGGCAAATACTATTTAAAAAACTTTTTAAAACCTAATAATAAAGCAATTTTCCTTGTCAGAGGGAAGGTTTGCCCTTCTTTCTACCTGTTTATGCATTGAGGCTGGTACCCTCTAATTCTGTCTACCCTGTCCTATGGTGACATGGGCCTGATCCCAGCTGGACATGGCTTTGAGCTCTTTAGCCCATTTCTTGGTGTCCGATTATGTGTGAGTGTACGTATTTATGAATGAGGAAAACTGACTTCCTCCCTCTCTTCACCCTCCCATTGTCCTGGGTGTGCTCCCTATTTAGGGGCACTGACCCAGGAGAAGGGTGGCACGTGCCCACATAGTGGCCTGTTCTCTCCAGGCTGGATGTGCTTCCATGCCTGTGCTTCCTCAGACTATCCCCCACCCCACTCCACCTCCCACCCCCCAGGTTCAGGACACGCTTATTTCAGCAAAATGAAGACAGATATCCACCAGGCAAACAGAACAAAACAAAAATACAGTAAAAATCATCAGTTGTTACCGATAACTTCACCCTTCACTACTTTCCTAACAGTTGGCATTCCACAGTCTGAAGTTGGCACAGATCATTTAACCATTCTCTTATTCATGCACATGAATTAATTCAATTAACTCATGGCCCTTCCATGTGAGCCAGCTGCCTGATCTGCACAGCAGCGAACCAGCATCTGTGTTATCTCTGTGGAGAGACTGGGAGGCTGGACTCATAATGAACTTGATGCATGATTTAGAAGATTTTCGGTGCATTTTGACCTAACTTGGGTGTCTATTCTTGAATAAGGCGTGACCTCCCCATTTGTACCTTCCACACATACCTGCACACAGTCAAAGTATGTGCCAGAAACATGTTTTCATTTCAAAGCAGAAACCTGAGGCTCATGTTTTGGGGGATTCCCTAATTTTATGATATTTTTAAGGCTCTACTGGGCAGCACCCTGCTGGTTCTCATTAGATAGCAAGCAGAACTGCATTGATGCAGTCATTCGGTGCCTGATTTAATGAGCATGTGCTGGTTGGGGCATCTTGTTTTTAAAGGAAGATGCTGGAGACATGTGGAGATGCTGAGAATCAATGCTGGAGACATGTGGATATGCTGAGAATCAGCTAGCTCTCGAGCTCTCGCAGCATGAGGTCTTTATTGAGAAAGAGATCGTGGACCCTTTGTACGGCATAGCAGAGGTGGGTGCTTGTGCTGTGTGGGATAGAGGAACCAGGAATGGTGGGCGGGATGGTGAATAGTTCACTGGGTCGAAAATTTTAACTGTAGTTAGTGGCTTTAACAGATACTTCTTTTTGGAAATAGGGGCGTAAATTGAGAGTAGAGTCTTTTGCCTAAGGAAGAAAAAAGTAAATAAATATTGCCTTTTAAAATGTTAAGCTAAGGGGGCCATGTGGTGGTTAAGGCGTTGGACACTCCCACATGGCTGACCACAGTTCGAGTCCCGGACTTGGTGGCTTGGTTTCTCACTTTCTCTCTCTTTCTGTCTCTCTCTCTCTGGTCAAATTAAAAAATAAATTAATGAATAAATGAAATTAAATAATTCTTTAAAAAAATCTTCATGGGGACCAGCAGGTGGTGTGGTGGCTAAGGTGCTGGATACTCCCACATGGGCAACCACGGTTTGAGTCCTGGACCTGGTGACTTTCCTTCTCACTTCCTCTCTCTCTCTCTGGTCAAATTAAAATAAATGAATGAATAAATAAAATTAAATAAATAAACCTTTAAAAATAAATTTAAAAAATAAAATGTTGAGCTAAAACGCCAAAGCACATCCCACTTGGTATGTTCTTCCTTCTAGGTGGATATTCCCAACATCCAGAAACAGAGGAAACAGCTCGCCAAGCTGGTCTTAGACTGGGATTCGGTCAGAGCCAGGTAAGGTAAAGCTGTTCCCATAAGCAGTAATGTAGTGTTGTCACATGCTGGCAGCCATCACCACCCCACCATCAACAGGAGAAAGGCTACTGAGTGGACAAGGGAAGTTGTCCATTATTTCAGCAAAATGAAGACAGATATCCACCAGGCAAACAGAACAAAACAAAAATACAGTAAAAATCATCAGTTGTTACCGATAACTTCACCCTTCACTACTTTCCTAACAGTTGGCATTCCAGTCTGAAGTTGGCACAGATCATTTAACCATTCTCTTATTCATGCACATGAATTAATTCAATTAACTCATGGCCCTTCCATGTGAGCCAGCTGCCTGATCTGCACAGCAGCGAACCAGCATCTGTGTTATCTCTGTGGAGAGACTGGGAGGCTGGACTCATAATGAACTTGATGCATGATTTAGAAGATTTTCGGTGCATTTTGACCTAACTTGGGTGTCTATTCTTGAATAAGGCGTGACCTCCCCATTTGTACCTCCCACACATACCTGCACACAGTCAAAGTATGTGCCAGAAACATGTTTTCATTTCAAAGCAGAAACCTGAGGCTCATGTTTTGGGGGATTCCCTAATTTTATGATATTTTTAAGGCTCTACTGGGCAGCACCCTGCTGGTTCTCATTAGATAGCAAGCAGAACTGCATTGATGCAGTCATTCGGTGCCTGATTTAATGAGCATGTGCTGGTTGGGGCATCTTGTTTTTAAAGGAAGATGCTGGAGACATGTGGAGATGCTGAGAATCAGCTGGCTCTCGAGCTCTCGCAGCATGAGGTCTTTATTGAGAAAGAGATCGTGGACCCTTTGTACGGCATAGCAGAGGTGGGTGCTTGTGCTGTGTGGGATAGAGGAACCAGGAATGGTGGGCGGGATGGTGAATAGTTCACTGGGTCGAAAATTTTAACTGTAGTTAGTGGCTTTAACAGATACTTCTTTTTGGAAATAGGGGCGTAAATTGAGAGTAGAGTCTTTTGCCTAAGGAAGAAAAAAGTAAATAAATATTGCCTTTTAAAATGTTAAGCTAAGGGGGCCATGTGGTGGTTAAGGCGTTGGACACTCCCACATGGCTGACCACAGTTCGAGTCCCGGACTTGGTGGCTTGGTTTCTCACTTTCTCTCTCTTTCTGTCTCTCTCTCTCTGGTCAAATTAAAAAATAAATTAATGAATAAATGAAATTAAATAATTCTTTAAAAAAATCTTCATGGGGACCAGCAGGTGGTGTGGTGGCTAAGGTGCTGGATACTCCCACATGGGCAACCACGGTTTGAGTCCTGGACCTGGTGACTTTCCTTCTCACTTCCTCTCTCTCTCTCTGGTCAAATTAAAATAAATGAATGAATAAATAAAATTAAATAAATAAACCTTTAAAAATAAATTTAAACAGACCTGGCGTCTTGCTTTCTCACTTTCCCCCTCTCACTCTCAGGTCAAATTAAAAACATAACACCAGCAGGTGGTATATGATGGTTAAAACACCGAACACTCCCACATGGCTGTCCATGGTTTGAGTACCAGACCTGGTGGCTTGCTTTCTCATTTTCTCTCTTTCTCTCTCTCTCTTCTGTCTTTTCAAATTTTTTTTAAAAAGTTAAATAAATACATGAATAAATAAAATTAAATAAATAATTGTTAAAAACAAAACATAGTGAAACCAGCAGGTGGCATGGTGGTTAAGGTACTAGACACTCCCACATGGCTGACCACAGTTCGAGTCCCGGACTTGGTGGCTTGGTTTCTCACTTTCTCTCTCTTTCTGTCTCTCTCTCTCTGGTCAAATTAAAAAATAAATTAATGAATAAATGAAATTAAATAATTCTTTAAAAAAATCTTCATGGGGACCAGCAGGTGGTGTGGTGGCTAAGGTGCTGGATACTCCCACATGGGCAACCACGGTTTGAGTCCTGGACCTGGTGACTTTCCTTCTCACTTCCTCTCTCTCTCTCTGGTCAAATTAAAATAAATGAATGAATAAATAAAATTAAATAAATAAACCTTTAAAAATAAATTTAAAAAATAAAATGTTGAGCTAAAACGCCAAAGCACATCCCACTTGGTATGTTCTTCCTTCTAGGTGGATATTCCCAACATCCAGAAACAGAGGAAACAGCTCGCCAAGCTGGTCTTAGACTGGGATTCGGTCAGAGCCAGGTAAGGTAAAGCTGTTCCCATAAGCAGTAATGTAGTGTTGTCACATGCTGGCAGCCATCACCACCCCACCATCAACAGGAGAAAGGCTACTGAGTGGACAAGGGAAGTTGTCCAAGTCACGGCCTGCTCGCACCCCTTTATAAAGACCTCGTTCTCGCAGGTATGGCAGCGGGGATGCACTGTTTCTCTGTGAGCCAGTACAGCCAGGAAACAGGAAAAATAAGGGAAACTAAGTCAGTGCGTTTCACAGGCGAGAGGATGGTGCAGACAGTTCTAAGAGCACAGTTGTTGGGGTAGTAGAGTGTAGAAATAAAGAGAATTGCAATCCTGACAGCTCACGTCACAGGCCTTGTGTGCTCATGCAGTTCCCCTTCACAGTCAAGAAATGCTGCATTCCCACGGGAGCACTCGTAAACCTAAGTAGCCAAATGCACAGGGCAGCTGACGTGTGAACGACATCAGCGACAGTGTGCCGTGTTGATGACAGGACTGTGCCTCAGCCCTGCCCTCCATGGCCTTTTCATCAGTGATTTCCCTGGCTTTCTTCTAAGGCACATGAGAATTAGAAATAGGGGAGCGGGACCAGCAGTTAGCGTAATGGCTATGTCGCTGGACTCCCACGTAGTCGACCGCGGTTTGTGTCCCGGACCCAGTGGCTTAAAACTCACGCCGGGCACGTGTGCGTGCGTGCCCAAGATCCCGAGAGGAGAATGGAGGAGAAGGGATTGCGGCGTGACCATCCCCCCTGGGGGGTAATTTCTCGCTTTCTGTCTCTCTTTCTCTCTCTGTCTGGCGAGTGCACGCGCCCTATAGCAAAAACCTCTCCAAAAAAAGAAAAAAAAAAAGAAAGAAGTAGGGGAGCAATGCCACCAACCCCCCCATCTTTTTTCAGACTTTATCCACGCAAGTGTCAACAGGCTTCTTCCATAAAGGGCAAGAGAGTAAATATTTTCAGCTTTGCAGCCCTGATGGTCCCTGTTGTAGCCACTTAGCTTACTGTTTAGATTAAACACGGTCCTGAACAATACTTAAATGAATGCATGTAACTAGATTCCAACAAAATTTTATTTAAAAAATAATTTTAAATAATTTGCAATTTGCAGACCCTTGCTTTGCCAGATTATTAATCCTTACTGCAGTCCTGTAGATATGATTATTTCTATTTGACAGAAATATTTTTATTTCTGCATGATTATGTCTTTTTTTTTTAAGAGAGATTTTTGCTATAATGTACGTGTGCTCGCCAGAGAGACAGAGGGAGATTCTTGGTGAGTGCAAATGGCCTATAGCAAAAGTCTCTAAAAAAAAAAAAAAAAAGAAGGAAAATATTCCAGTGGTTAATAAACAAGGCTGTAAGTGCTGTTTCACTGAAGTTGGTTAAACAATATTGTAAGTATTTACCTGCCAGGAATTTTGTGTATCCTATAGAAGATTTTGACACAGATTTTTTTTTTTTTTTTTTTTTTAAGAGAGGGAGTTTTGCTGTAGGGCATGTGCGCTTGTTGGAGCGAAATAGACTGAAAGTGAGAAATCAGCCTCCAGGAGGGATGGCCACACCATAATCCCTTCTCCTCCATTCTCCTCTCAGGATTTTGGGCACACACACACATGCCCAGCGTGAATTTTAAGCCACTGGGTCCGGGACTTGAACCACAGTCGACTACATGGGAGTCCAGCAAAATAATCATTATGCCATCTGCTGGTCCCTTGACACTGATTTTTGATCTTATGGTCATGATCTAGTTCACTTAATTAAAGTAGATATTGGAGAAACAGGAACAGTTAAATAGTCTTTACTTTTATTTATTCCTATGGCTTTTCCCTGGAGGAAAATAATAACTAACATTAAATAGGAGTCAGTTATATGCCAGATATATTCGCACGCACACATATGTTTATATTTGTTTTTTCCTACACTCTTTTTTTTTTAAGCGTTTTTTGCCTTAGAGTGCATGAACTTACTGGAGAAAGATAGAGACAGTGAGAGGGAAAGTGAGAAATCAACCCCTACGGGCATGGCTATACCACAATTCCTTCTCTATTCTCCTCCTAGGATCTTGGGCATGCACACACACATGCACCCAGTGTGAGTTTCAAGTCACCAGGTCTGGGACTTGAACCATGATCAGCCCTGTGGGAGTCTCACAACAGAACCACTATGCCATTTGCTACCCCTCTCCTTCACTCTTTATGAATAGAGTTCTGTAAGGCAGGTATTTGTTATCTTAGTTTCCCAGATAAGGCCTCTGAGGTACAGAGAAGTTAAGTCATTAAGCAGGTCACCAGCTAGTAAGACAAGAGCTGAATTTCAGACTTGAACATATTAGGCTCCAAGTCCACGTTTTTCCTACAACACGATTTTGGGCACACACACACATGCCCAGCGTGAATTTTAAGCCACTGGGTCCGGGACTTGAACCACAGTCGACTACATGGGAGTCCAGCAAAATAATCATTATGCCATCTGCTGGTCCCTTGACACTGATTTTTGATCTTATGGTCATGATCTAGTTCACTTAATTAAAGTAGATATTGGAGAAACAGGAACAGTTAAATAGTCTTTACTTTTATTTATTCCTATGGCTTTTCCCTGGAGGAAAATAATAACTAACATTAAATAGGAGTCAGTTATATGCCAGATATATTCGCACGCACACATATGTTTATATTTGTTTTTTCCTACACTCTTTTTTTTTTAAGCGTTTTTTGCCTTAGAGTGCATGAACTTACTGGAGAAAGATAGAGACAGTGAGAGGGAAAGTGAGAAATCAACCCCTACGGGCATGGCTATACCACAATTCCTTCTCTATTCTCCTCCTAGGATCTTGGGCATGCACACACACATGCACCCAGTGTGAGTTTCAAGTCACCAGGTCTGGGACTTGAACCATGATCAGCCCTGTGGGAGTCTCACAACAGAACCACTATGCCATTTGCTACCCCTCTCCTTCACTCTTTATGAATAGAGTTCTGTAAGGCAGGTATTTGTTATCTTAGTTTCCCAGATAAGGCCTCTGAGGTACAGAGAAGTTAAGTCATTAAGCAGGTCACCAGCTAGTAAGACAAGAGCTGAATTTCAGACTTGAACATATTAGGCTCCAAGTCCACGTTTTTCCTACAACACAACATCATCAGTTTTACTCTGGCAGAGTTAGCCAAGCCTTTCTGTGCGGGAGTGTGTCACATCAGGACAAGGTGTTTTTTGGGGAGTGAGGCCACAGTCTGAAAAGTTTGATAAGTTGCTGACATGGGTTTTCATGCTGCATATGTATCATACCTATATTTTAATTTGAAGCATTGCAGCTTCCTACAATACTAGACGTGTCCATGTTCAAATAGAAGGTCAAAGCACATTTGAAAACCAGAAAGAATTGTTTTAGGTAATTATTCCCTACCTATCCCTCTGCCACAGTATAGTTTTTTTTCACATGTTTTTACAGCCATCAATTAATAGCTGCATTGTGGGGGTTCTGGCTTTTACTTGCGGAAATTGACCCCAGGTCACAAATGGTGGTAGGAAAAGTCATAAGGAGCCCTCGAGAGCAGAAGCTGATGCCCAGTAGCACATGGAATATTCCAGATGAAAGCAGGAGAGCAGAGGGGTACTTCATGGCAGGAATTCTGTGACTAGATACTACAGGAAAGGGAGTTCCAAAGATTGCTTTCCAGCATTGGGGTTCACGTGAGACATGATTTAGTAGCTTATGCTCAGAGAAGACTGTTACTCCCACAAGTGTTGGTGTCCTGTCATGGTGGGAAGCCGATGTCTCTTTTGCTTGCCTTTGTTCTTAGAGGATAAACTCCAGGGAACCTGGCATCCTGGGTATTGATACCTATCCCAGGTAGCATTGGTTTGGGGTAGGATCTGTTTCCGTAAGTCCTTGGCTTCATGAGATTGAATATGCACAGCTAATTCTAAGGTACTGGTTATCCCTTTGTTTTGCAGGTGGAACCAAGCTCACAAATCTTCAGGAGCCAATTTTCAGGGGCTTCCATCAAAAATAGATACCCTAAAAGAAGAGATGGATGAAGCTGGAAATAAAGTAGAACAGTGCAAGGTATGAGAATTTCCTAGTAAACATGTACTTGCATCTGTCTTTTGGTTTTTGCAAATGATGGCCGACAGGTCAGATATTAGAATTTATTTATTTATTTATTTATTTATTTATTTATTTTAGAGAGATTTTTGCTATAAGGCATGTGTGCTCATCGGAGAGACAGAGAGACAGAAAGTGAGAAATCAACCCCCCCAGGGGAATTGGCCAGCCCGCAGTCCCTTCTCCTCAATTCTCTCGGGATTTTGGGCACGCATGCACACATGCCTGGTGTTAGCTTTAAGCCACGAGGTCTGGGACTTAAACTGCAGTAGACTACGTGGGAGTCCAGCAACATAACCATTATACATCTGCTAATCCCAATTATTTAATGTTTTATGTAATTACTCTCAGATTATTCTGAATGATATTATAGTACTTATTTTTTTCTTTATTTATTTTCTAAGACTGTATTATTTTATAATCAGAATAAAATGTTATTGGGTCATTCTCATAGCCTAGTGGTTAAAGGAGCCAGATCCTACATAGCCAACTAGATTCTCAGCCCCAGTGGCTCAAAAAACACACTGGGCATATGTGCATGCATGCCAAAATCTGAACAGGATGGAGAATTAGAGAAGGAATTGTGGCGTGGCCATGCCCCATTGGGGAGTGCTTTCTCTCTCTCTCTGGTGAGTGCACATGCCCTCTAGCAATTAAAAAAAAAAAGAATTAAACATTATTTAAAAATTCAAGTAGCATTTAAAAAAATCTTTACAATATGTCTAAGCTTATTTAAAATAATTTTTTAAAAATAGGTATATTGCTTTTTGACCTTTCGGCTAAGATCAAGAGTAAAATTTAAAATTTTAAAAAGGTAGAAAAGGGAAAAAAAAACATTTAGTGTTACAGCATAATAAACACAAAAATAGATCAGTGGAATGGTATATAGGTTTTCTAGAACAAACGTTACTATATTTCAAGATTTAATATATAATAAATAGGTCATCAGATATCCACTGGGAAGGAAAGGATTGTTTTTAAAATGTTGCTTGGACAATTGGCTTGTAATTTGGAAAACTATAACTTTTGTAAGTAATTATTTATTATTATTTAACTTGTAGGGCTCGTGAGCTTGCCAGAAAGAGACAGAGAGAGAGAAAGTAAGAAAGCAAATCATCAGGTCTCGGATTCAAACTGTGATAGACCATATGGAAGTCAAACATGCTAACCATTGTGCCACCTGCTGGCCTCAAGGAAGAACATAACTTTTTATCTCATAAGTTTAAAATTCTAGATGAATTAGTTGGTTAAGTGATCTCATTCCCCATACATCTGTCTTTATAGATTGGCATTCATTCCAAATGTTCTTTGAGATGGCAAATTATTTGAGGTGGTAAAGAAATAGGTCTCTAGGTGACTCTTAGGATCATCAATATAGACTTTTCCTACTCTTATTCATCATCTTCGAAAAATGATCTCTTAATGCTACTAGATAATGTTAGGACTCTTGTATGTTAGCTTATTAAAGTTATACTAATTCACTTTTCAAGATATTCAATCTTGACCAGATAAACTGCTTAAAATAATATAGTGGGTAGAAATTAAAAAGTGAACTTGCAAAGTTGTGACAAATATTACTAAAAACTAATATTTAGAGGGCCAGCAGGTGGCATAGTGGTTAAGGCACTGGACCTCCCACATGGCCAACCGCATTTTGAGTTCCAGATCTGGTGGCTGGCAACTATACCAGGTACATGTGGGTGCTTGCCCAAAAATCCCAAGAGGAGAATGAAGGAGAAGGAATTGTGGCATGGCCATCCCAGGGGGTGACTTTTTACTTTCTCTCTCTTTTGTCTCTCTGATGAGTGAATACACCATATAGCAGAAAGAGACAGAGAGAGAGGGTAAGGGAGAAAACTAGCCGTCAGGTCCAGGACTCAAACTGCACTCAGCCATGTGGGATCCAGCATCCTACCTACCTGTTGGCCTTGATTTAAGTTCTTTTTCACTGATTCTCTCTATAGCTATTTCTGTTCTAATTGATTAACATTAAGTTCTGAATTTTATTTCTAAATTTCTAATTCTCCAAATCTGCTTTTTTGGATAGTGAATTCTTTTCTAATATTCTTTATTTAATGTCTAAGCATTTTAAATACACATACTTATTTTAACAATCTCTGGTAATTCTACTTTCTGAAGTTCTGTGTGAAAGTGGTGGGAGTTTGCTTATTTTTGATTGTTTCCTCATGTGTTTTGTAATTGTATGATGTGAGCTTATTTTAAGATGGACTTTATCTGTGGGACTGCTAGAGATTGGAAATGAGTCTCTCTAGAGAGTTATTTCCAGTCCAGGTCCATTTTTAAATAACTTTTTTTTTTATTTAAATTTTCCTAGACCACAGGTACAATAAATTAACATTTTAAACCCTCAGAAGAGCAGATTTGTTTGTGGAATTTCCCAGGCATTGTTTTTTTCTTTCCCAGACCCAGAATCCAATTCAAAACACACATACTTCCCTATTGTTTACATGTGCTGTTGCATGAATTTGTTCCAGTCCCTTCATAACTGGGGTATAGTTCTCTAAGTACCTTATCGTTATGCATGACTTGTGTGTAGTTGTTCCTTACCTTACCAGGCCATAGGCCACATGACTGCTAGATTCAAATACCTTGGCCACCAAGACTGTCACAAATTAACTCCAGGTCATCCCCAGCTTCCACTCATGCTTACCAGTCTGGCTTTTTTTTAGTTCTTTTCTTTTTCTTCTTTCTTTCTCTTTTTGGAGGGAGAAAGGGCTCAGGGAATTTATTTCACTGCTTTTCCAATTGTTCTGAAAGGATGTTTGTTACTCCTAACTAGCATTGCTTGTTTTATCATAAATGAGAGGGCCTTAACATTTTCTGTGTAGAACATTAAAAATAGAGTATATATATCTTTATATCTATGTCTGTAAGTACCAAAATCAAAGGATATATATAGATATATATACAACATGCATATATTTCAATACATATATTTTCAGGATATATATATAGAGAGAGATATAGATATAGATATACACACACACACATACATACATACAAAGATTGAGAAAAATAAATATATATCCAGCTGTCTAATCTGTCACTTTTTTTAACCTAAAGAATTATTTATTTATTATTATTTTGATTTGTTATGAGAGTCATGTGTTCACCAGAGAGAGACACAGAGGGAGAAAGAGAAAGTGAGAAAGCAAGGCATCAGACCTGGGACTCCAACCATGGTCAGCCATATGGGAGTCCAGCACCTTACCCACCATGCCACCTGCTGGCCCCATCTGACACTTTAAAAAAATATATATTTATTTTCTGCATAACATTAATTTATACTAATACAAACATATAAAACAGTATACAGCAAAGTCTTCCATCCTTTTCCTCCTTCTACCTAGTTTCCATCATTGCTAACAGGTAACCACTGTTATCTAATTTCTTGTTTTCTTTCTTCTAGAGATAATTTTATAGATATATGGCAATAAAAATAAGACATTTTATTCTCTACTTTTTTTTAATCCAGATGGTAACATGCCATAAATAATGCTCTACACTTTCCTTAACAAGGTATATTAGCAATATGTCTTGGAAATAATTCCTTGTCGGTCTATATAATAAGCATAATAAGCTTCCTGATTCTCATTGTTTCATTATGTGGTTGTCCAAGTCAGTCAGTAGGCTTGTCTTTTGTTTTGTGGTATTGTATTGTTTTGTTTTGTTTTAGATTTTTGCAATAGCGCTTGCTAGAGAGAGACAGAGAGAGGGAAAGTGAGAAATCACCACCTAGGTGAGGTTACCACTCCACAATCCCTTTTCCTCCATTTTTCTCTCAGGATTTTGGGCACACATGCATACATGCCCAGCATGATTTTCAAGCCACCATAGCTGGGACTCTAACTGTGGTTGACCGCGTGGGAATCCAGCACCTGAGTCACCATGCCACCCACTGGTCCCAGTGGACATTTAACCTGTGGCTGTTTCCATCATTTTTTATTTAAGAGCTCATGGGTCTTATTCTGAGATACCACTGTCTTTCACTTCTTTGTTCTCCAGTGACATTTCTTTCCTTCCACTTACCCAGGATCAACTTGCAGCAGACATGTACAACTTCATGGCCAAAGAAGGGGAGTACGGCAAATTCTTTGTTACGGTAAGCAAAAACTCCTTGTCAAGATGCCTTGCAAGCATTGTAAAAAATTGAGTCATTTTAGCTTTTTTTGCCAAAGATTTCATTTTTAGTTTTGTTCAGCCATTGCGTGTGTGTCCATCCGATGCTAACGTTACTTTTGTTTTTGAATGTGGGTCTGTTCTCAGTTATTAGAAGCCCAAGCAGATTACCATAGAAAAGCATTAGCAGTCTTAGAAAAGGCCCTTCCCGAAATGCGAGCCCATCAAGGTAACGTAACCTGCGTGCTGGCTGATGCCTCCTTCTTGCCTCTGCCACGTCTGCCTCTGTTCTTCTTCGCCCTGACCCCTTTGCATGCGTGTCCTTTGGGTAAAGCCTCTCTGCCTAGGAGGGGACTGTTTCCCAGCATAATTTCTTCTTTCTTACTGCATTCTCTAATGTCTTCCAAACCTGAATTAACATACTAATGAGATACGGGCAGTTCTCTGAACCTTCAGTTGAAAAGAAAACTGGCCCACATATTTTTCTGTCTTCTATAGGCTCCCAGAATTCTGGCATCTAATGATCCTTTACCAATTCGGTTTTCCCACAGCACTTAATTCTGGCCCTGTGACTCCAAAGAGCATCCATTCTAGGCCAAATATTTTGGATTTCCCCAAAGAGAAATTTAAAAGCCATGACTTGATGCCACATCATCAGTCACTTAAGTGTGATGAAATCATACGCCCATGACAGCTTCTTCAAAGCCCTTCTTTGTCATTACACAAGACAGTTGTTCTTATCAGCACCAACATTTTACCAGCCATGTTCAAGCGCATGCAGACTTTACCCACAAGTTATGAATGGACTTCATGAACTTTCCCCCAATGTTTAGTTTTTAGTTGGACATCTAAATTTTTTTCCCCTCCCTAAAAGCGTTTGATTCTACTTCTCTCTGATGTACCATTGGAGCATTTACCAGCAGAAGAGAACAAAAGTTATCGAGACAGAAATTACTCTGCCATCTTTGGACCTACGACGCTATCCTGTGGGTGGTATAGACCGGCATTTGGAATCTAGGTTCCCATCGCAGAATCACTGGTCTTGAACTCACAGGGGATCAGGCGAGGTGCAGAGTGCGATAGCTACAGTATGCAGTTGTGAAAGAGAGTGGGCAGGTGTGGGTGGACAGCATACCACAAATGCACACACATGCCAGCACCCTCAGGATTGCCTTCTCTGTTTCAGACATCCTTACCCATGTTCGCCTTCTCAAGAGTGCCATCCTCCAAGTTTCAGGACAGCCTTACAGGTGCTAGCTTTGTGCCTGAGAGTTTTGGGATTACTGAATTAGAATATTCTCTATCTTGACTGACCCCATGGTCAGGTGTTCGGCAGTCTTAGGCGCAATGTGTCTGATTTGCTTGGCCATTCTTCATAGGATGAACTGCCTTCGCTTTCCAAAATGATCCCATTTCTGGGTTATAGGAGGGTGATGTTGAGTCATGGTGTAGTAGGAAGAAGCCACTGGTAACTATCCAGCCTACTGAGGGACAGTTCCTAGCACCAAGAACATGCATTTATGAGATATGTACTGTGCACGGGGCCCTGCATGGAACGGTTGACCATTTTTGCCTGTGAGTGGCTTAAAAGTCTGATCTGGAAGAATTGACTAAAGAGTAGAGAAAAGGAAAGATTGGGTTCCTTTAGCAATTCTGATTTTTTATTTTTAAAGTTTAATTTTATTTTTTTGATGGGAGGACGACAGAAATACAGGCATCCCCAAATAGGATCTTCATGTCATAGTCCAACCCCAGTCTCAGCTGGCCTAGATCGTGGGCATGTGTGTGTGTGCCCAGTGTGCTCGGGAGGCCCTGGGATGTGAACCTAGGACGTTTCTCACATGGGGCTGGTTGTGTTGCCTCTGTGCTACCACCTCTCTCTCCCTAGCCTTTAAAACATTCCCCAATCTATTTTCTCCCCCAAGGCTAGTTTCCCTGGAGAAATATATCAGAAAGTCATGGGGAGCAGTGATGGGCCGGAGAAGAGTTTAGGATGGATCTAGGAGACTGGAGTGTGGGGGAGCTGCCAGGGAAAGAAGTGTGGTCCCTCCCTCTCCAAGATCAAAATCAGTCCCTTCTCTGAGCTGGAATTCCACCTTTCTCATCCCAGCCTGACCCACACCTCAGTCCTGCTTCCTCTTCCTTTGTCATCTTCTCTGTTTTTAGAAAGATTCAACATGCCTTACTGAAGAAACAATGTGTAACCTGACCCCGCTGCCCCCAGGCCCCTGGGGACCCTGATCTCACTTATCGGTCAGCTGGTAGTGACTCAGTCCCTCCCCCTCCTGAACTCCTACCCCACTGGGTCTCATTCTCTTGCGCTTTTCTGGCAGGCTTTTCCAATGACTCCTTTCCACCTGTCAGCTCCATTTTCTTACCACCTTTTTACTCCTGAGGCCTTTGCAGTCTGGTATCTATCCTCGGTCTCTCTGCTATAAAAGAAAAAAACAAACAAACAAACAAAAACACTGCAATCCCCAAAGGACCAGTGACTTCTTGTCTGACCCTGGCATTCAACACAGTTTGGGCCACCGCTCCCTGGTTAAAAGGTTTTCCTCCTTTTACTTTTCTTCTTGCATTATCAGGACTCTGCATTTCTCCACTTCTGTCCCCACCCTTAGCCTTCTCTGAGGTCTCATCCTTGCTCCTGTGTTTTCTCTCTTCCTTCCTCCCTGACCCCTTTTCCACAGAAATGCCCTCATTCTGACATCCTGACTTCTCACCTGTATCTACGTCTCGCAGCTCCTAAGCAGTCCCTTTGGTGACTGACTCTTACCTTAAGCCCCCATATCTCAAAAACCAAACTGATGTGCCTTCCACACGAGCTGTCTCTCTCTCCCTCCTGCCTCCCTGATTCCACCTTTCTCCTAGTGATCCAGATTTGAACCTGTTGAGCCATCTTCTCCTTCTTTCTCTTACCCTCTCCCAGGTTCTGCCCATTTTGCCCTGTGCTCCCCTTTTTCCCATTCTCACTGACCACTCTGCTCCACACTCTCAGCCCTCATGCATGGACTGAGAGACCGTGTACATTCCCAGGCTCACTTTCTCAGCCTGAAGCCCTCCATAGATGTTTGTCCATTTCTCAGCCTAATTCCTATCTTAGGAAGCCCCCCTGCACTTTCTTCTTCTGAAACGCCGTCTCTGAAAACTGAAGCCACCAGCAAACACTTCACTGCCTTAATTGCTCTCCCACCTGTGGTCTAACACCAGACATTGCAAGCCCTACATCTCATTAACATTTTTTTAGTTTAAACTTTTAAATCATTTAAAAAACAGCCTCTCTCACATGCTGATCCTGATTTCTGGCTTTTTCGAACATTCAGAAGATCCAGTGGTCCTGGGTCTGCTTTCCTGTGTATTGATATTGTTCTGGTGCTGGGGAGCGACTGTCTCTAGGTAGCCCACACGTGCCCCGGTATGATTCTCACACCTCTGCTACTCACCCAGCTCCTGTAGACAGCCGCGTTTGTGACCCTGTCTATGCCATTTTCTGCCACAACTTAGCACACGTGTCTTGTCTGTTCATGACTGTTATGTGTTTACATGTGTGTCTTAAATTTCCCTCACATCCTGAGGGTGGGATCTCTGGGACTTTGTGTGCCTGCTGCAGTGCCTGGCACATGGTAGGTCTGTGACTTGAGAGACCTTAGGACTTGCCTCTGGGCCAGTGGTTCTCACGTACTCCCTCTGACAACATTATACCACGGCAGGGGTGGGCGAACTCTGGTCAGTGTTTACCAGAAAGCTCTAGCCAAGGTTTGGCATATGCTCACCTCCCAGCATCGCAGAGTGAGGAAGGTGGTAGAAGTGATGGCAGGGGTCATTTGCAGAACTTCTCAGGACGATTCGGACATGGGCCCTGGGGAGAGTCATGTGGCCATTTTCCACCTATGTTGAGAATCATTGCTTTAGATAAAAGGGACAGAGTATTCAGAGCAAGATCTGGTCTGAGAGAGTGCTGTCACAGAGCTCTGTCTTGGAAGGGCCAGGCCCCTGGATGCTTTGCCATAGGGCATGTGCGCTTGCCAGAAAGAGAGACAGAGAGTCAGAAAGCGAGAAATCATCCCCCGGAGGGTTGGCCACGCCACAGTCCCTTCTCCATTTTTCCCTTGGAATCTTGGGCACGTATGCACACGCACCCACCGTGAGTTCAAGCCGCCGGATCTGGGACTTGAACAGCGATCAACTGCATGGGAGTACAGTGATAGCCATTACGCCAACTACTGATCCCCCCTGGATGCTTTTATATTAGAAATTCTACTGAGCTGGAGCCAGGGCCAGGGCCAGATCTGGCCAGGTATGAAGAGGGCCCCCTACAGCTCTGAGAGTCACAAGTGGCCTGCTCTTCATTTTTGTCCACTGCCTTCCTTTCCATCACGCCTCTCACGAACCTTTATCCGCCTCGCTTTTTCCATTTTAACTTCCTTAATTTTGTTTAACTTTAACAATTTTTAACTTACATAAGCTCCTGGGGCTCTGGATTTGTGGGATTTTACTTTTCTTCATTCCCCTCTGTGTGGATCATGTGGTGCCCTGTGCACCTGCTGTGGCACAGCGGCATCAGAGAGCACCCTACAATGAATACCGCCCTCTTGACATCCACTTCCTGGTAGCAAGGTGGCTAAGGGACAGAGGTCGTTTAAGGTGCTGAGAAGGACGTGAGCCCTCCTGTGGTGGGAAACAAGGAAGTGTCCCTCCCTGGAGCGCTGTTCACTCCCTGGTTTTCCCTCTTTTGCTTCTGCGTGCTTCTCAGACAGCACTGGATCTCTGCCGCTTCCACCGCAGGCCATGCCCAGCGAAACTCTTCCTCCTCTGATTTCATGTATCCATGGTCTGAATTCTTTCTGTTTTACTACTTTTTTATATGTATTTCTGCTGAGCTGTCTCAAATCCTTTGTGGAATAAAGCAGGGCCAATGATCCAAAAATAATATAAAATATTGCCTTCAGCCTAAGCTGCTTCAGGGCACAGATACTGCGTGTTTCTCTCTCCAGACGTTTGTGTGGAGATGTGGTGCTCTGAAGCATGGTGTGTCACAGAGATGTCACATCCTTTATGGGTTCATGTTGGCCATCTCCAGTCCTGTGTGACAGATGCCTGACTTGCATTTGAAATTTTTTAAGAGAGTACCCTTTCACATCGAAGGAGGAAATGGCCATTTCTTGTCCTCTGGCTATAAGTCCAGTGCTGCTTTGCATGGCTAAAATACATTTCATTTAAAATGGTCTGCTCAGATGAGTCCTCTCATTTAGTGTGAGGTGGCCTGTCTGCCACATGGGGGATGTGGGCATGGAGCAGAGGCAGGGGCACCATTTGCAGAGTCCCTGGGCAGCTCCTGCCAGATGCCACCGAGATATTGCTGGGACCTTCTGTTCCACTAGTAACTGCCCCAGCCTGATATATAGATTATGCTCAAACAAATGATAAATAATGAAAATAAATAGGGCAGATATTTCCTAAAGCCTCAACTAGAAAAACCCTTCTGGTAGTTTGGGAAGAAAATAACTCAGTGATGGCAGGAGGTTGTTGGTGTCTTACTGTGTGGTCTGCCGCTCTAGATAAGTGGGCGGAAAAGCCAGCCTTCGGGACTCCTCTGGAAGAGCACCTGAAGCGGAGCGGGCGGGAGATCGCACTCCCCATCGAAGCCTGTGTCATGTTGCTCCTAGAGACGGGCATGAAGGAGGAGGTGAGAGGCACTTCGGTTCCTGCATGCCAAGTCTCCCTGCCCTCCCCCCCACACACACACACGTATTACACAGCCATTGCCCGTGTCGTAGAGACCAGTGATTTTCAAACTTCTGTCACCAGGACCCACATTTTAACTTGAGACCTTGTACATGAGACCATTCTGCCTGTAAATGAAGGTTTCACAGAACAATACTTACCTTTCCCACCTGCGGTGCACTCACCTGCTTTTATCCTGTTCAAGTGTTTCGTTTTAAGCCCTGGTCATGGTTTGTAACAGTGGGTTTCGTGGTGCACTAACAGACTAGAATTTCCATGAGCTTGACTTTCCAATAACTTGCACCTGTAATGTGATTCTTACATTTGTAGAGTAGCATGCGAATTGGGGAGGTCAGCATTTACCTACTTTATTTTGTGAGATCTTACCAAAAATCCCCATGAGCCAAGAAGGGCAATTCCTGGTCACCTTCTGTTTGTTTTTTTATTTTAGTTTGTGTGTGTGTGTGTGTGTGTGTGCTAGGGCAGAAAGACAGACAGTGAGAAGGAAAGTGAGAAATCACCCCCCCCCCCCCCCCCAGGGGGCACCCCCCCCCCCCTACCCCCCCCCCCCCCCCGGCAGGGATGGCCACACCCTAGTCCCTTCTCTTCTACTTTCCTCCTGGGATTTTGGATATATATGGACATGTGCCCGGCATGAGTTTCAAGCCACCAGGTCTGGAACTCCAGCCATGGTCAGGCCTTAATAACTACACCACCTCCTGGCCCTATCTCTTCTATTAGAAAAGAAGTCAGCGTGTAGAGAGTTTACCCAGGGCAGAGCCAGAGTCAAAGTGTACTTTTTTTTCCTTTTTAAAACTTTTTATTGTAGTGTGATGTATGTGCAGAAAGTACACATGCCATAGGCGAACAGCTTGATGAACTTTCTCAGACTGAACCCACCCATGTAATCTGCACCCGAGTCAAGAGACCCTCCAGAAGCCCTTCTGGGTTTGCTTCCACTCACCACCCTGCTTCCCCAGCAATGTGCCTGCAACTTCTCATAGTCTAGATCAGTGCTGACTCTGGCCCCCAGGAGACATTCAGCATGGTCTGGAGACACTTTCAGTTGTTACAGCTAGGGAGGGCAGCATTGCTACCAGTGTCTAGAGGGGGAGACCAGGTACGCTGTTACACATTTGCAGTACCGAGGACTGCTCCACAGAGAATTGTCCTGCCTACAACGTCAGCAGTACTGAGGGCAAGAAACCCTCCCTTGATAAATTTTCTTAAAATCCAAGACTTAACTCCTGGTCTGGTATCCTTATTGACTCATGTGCTTTTGTTTTTCCTTCCTAAATCATGTTTAGGGCAGTGAAAGTGACCAGTGGCCTACCTCATGATTTTTCTTGAGATGCCAATTAAAAAAGTAGAAAGGCAAATGGGTGGCCTGGTGGTTAAAGTTGCTAGATCCCACATGACTGACCATACAGTTCAGGTCCTGGACCCAACGGCTTGAAAAACACAGTGGGTGCATGTGCATGCAGGAAGAGAAGGGATTGCAGTGTGGCCATCCCCACTTGGGGTGATTTTTTTGCCTTCCCCCTCTTTCTCACTATCTGTCTGCAATGAGCATGCAACTTACAGCAAAAAAAAAAAATTCTTTAATTAAAAAAAAAAGAAAGAAATGCTAAACATAGAAAATCTATAACAATCAACCTGTGGAAGTATAAATCCTGTGGAAGTAAAAAAGCATTTAGATGATTTCAAATAGGCACATGTATTTTGGTAATAGGACAGGATAAAGCTAGTACTAATTAAAAATGAGGGACCAGCAGATGACATAATGGTTACATTGTTGGACTCCCACATAGTCAAATACTGTTCAAGTCCCAGACCCAACGGCTTAAAACTCAAGCGAGGCACGTGTGCACGTGTGCCCAAGATCCTAAGAGGAGCGTAGAGGAAAAGGAATTGCAGCGTGGCCTCCTGGGAAATGATTTCTCACTTTCTGTCTTTCTCTGTCTCTCCAGCGAGTGCACACGCCCTATAGCAAAAAATATGTCTCTTAAAACAAAACAAAACAAAACAAAGTGGACACCATTGTACCTACAGCTCTGCTCAGGGTACTTGCAGGACCCCTTTCATTTCTCCTGCCAGTCCTTCATGGTATGCTGAAGTCAGGGAGGAGAAGGGATCCCTTTCATCATACTCTACTGCTGCTTAGCAAAAGACTCAATCTTCACTGGACACTAATGACTTGTCATTGTCTGTAGGGCCTTTTCCGAATCGGGGCTGGGGCCTCCAAGTTGAAGAAACTGAAAGCTGCTTTAGACTGTTCTACTTCTCATCTGGATGAGTTCTACTCAGACCCCCATGCCGTAGCAGGTGAGCTTGAAGGAGTGTCTGCAAATCGAGTCGCCCTCAAAGCAGTGGGCGAGTCTTATTTCAGACAGATTTAGTTTAAAACCCAATTTTAAATATACGTTTCAGTAACAAACACAACTGAAATGATTTTCTGATAAAATTCCTTAACATTGGGGCCAGCAGGTGGCATGGTGGTTAAGGGGACTGGACTCCCACACAGCCGACTACCATTTGAGTGCCAGACCTGGCGGCTTGCTTTCTCACTTTCTCTCTCTCTTTTACTCACTTTCTCTCTTTGTCCCTTTCTGGTCAAATTTAAATTAATTAATTAATTAAAGTTCAATAAAATAATTCTTTTAAAAAAATTTCTTAGTATATTGGGTTGTCAGGAAAGTCACGACACATTTTTGCATAGAAGAACATGGATAAATACATCATGACTTTCCCAGCGGCCTAATAAAATGTAATACATGTGTGTGTATGCACACTTATTTTCTGCCCCCCCCCCAATTATTAAGGAAAGATATTTGTAATGCAAATATTTTGGAGACATACTTGGATTTTTTCTTAAGTTGACTTATTTTTTCCATGAGAGAAACAGAGAGAGAAATATCTCCAACAGAGTCTTCATGCCACAATCCACCCCTCGCCTCAGACTTATACACAAGATCATGGGTACATGGCCTTTTGCCAGGAGACCTTGGAACATAAACCCAGGACCTTCCCTTATGGCTTCAGTATCACGGAGTGTCATGTTACTGCAGTGCCACGGCGGCTGGCCAGTACTTTGCATTTTCTTCCCTCCTTTTACCCTCCATGTTCAGATCTACCTGGAGAAATGTCTGTTAAGGGGATGCCTTTAAAGCTAATTTTATTTTCTATTTATCTTTCAATATATTAGGTCTTTAGAAAAGTCATGACACATTTTAAATGCGTCATGACTTTTCTGACGACCTAATGTTTTTGCAAGCAATTGACTTTATTTCACAAGCGTTCATTCTCTTTCCACTTCTGTCACATTATGATTTGTTGTGTGTACCTTCAATGGTTATAATTGAGATCATTTCAGTTTGCAGAGTAATACGTCCTGAGATTCCCAGACTTATGCATTTTCATACTCAGAGACACTGTTAATGATTTCAGGTGCTTTGAAGTCCTATTTACGGGAATTGCCTGAACCTTTGATGACTTTTAGTCTATATGAAGAATGGACACAAGTTGCAAGGTAAGTTTAGAGAACACAGAGGTTTAAAAGCTAAAGGAGACGATATAATTTTGTATCTTATTTATAAAACATTTTATTCTCAGAGATCATAAAATAACATTAACATAGTAAATATGTTCTGTATGTGTCTCAGTCACATTTAGGCTTAAAGTGAAAATATCAAGTATTATAGTTACTAGTCTAGAAAAGGCACCACTTCTGCATTGGTTCCATTTGTGTGACTTATATGGATGAAGATGTGTGTAAGAAATGGGCTTTTTGGACACTCAACAGGATTGAGAGCCAGCAAAGACCCAGAAGTCTGCATGCCTGGGAGCCTGGACAACTGATCTGTGACTATGAGACTCTGGGCTCCTTTGAAGCTCTACAATAATATACACAATTTCTAGACAGAGTTTTCAGTGGTGTCTTATATCTCGTGTGCCAAGCACTGGTCTAGGTGGCTTTGCCTGGTTATGCCACTGAAGCCTCATAATTGTTCAGCAGAATCAGTGCTTAAATCCTGCTTTGCAAATCAGGAGATTGAGTCATGATGAGGTTAACACACTGCTCAGTTAGTTCGTTGGTGTTTGTCTCCAAATTTGTCTATTTCCAAAATCTATGCTGTGTTCTAACTGTGCTTTTTCCATCAAATGGTGGCATCCCTGTTAATATGGCATATAAAGATAGCTATTACTACTATGTGTTTTAAAAAATAATTATGCATAAAAATTTTTTCTCAGTGTGCAGGATCAAGACAAAAAACTTCAAGATTTATGGAGAACATGTCAGAAGTTGCCACCACAAAATTTTGTTAACTTTAGGTATGTATGATTGGCATTCTGTAAACAAAGCCACCAAGCTTCCGTGACTCACTCTAGAGTGAAGACAGAATTAATCCCTAGCAGAGAGGCTATTCAATTCAAGCATTCTTGGCACATTGAACACAACAGAAATGCTCAGAGTGACTTGGGCTGTTTGGGAAATGGGTTTCGATACTGATGTAGCTAAAGCATCAATATCATGTCTGGTATGAATACCTAAGTTGGCTTATCATTTTACCACTGCGGCTATTAGTACAAAAATTCTTGTAAAAACTTTGGTGACTTATGTTAGGCTTGAAGTCTAAATTGTTCAAAATGTAAAAGGCACAATTAATCAACAGTTGCACTTCCCGTAATTATTCATATATATTACCTAAATTATTTATCATTATTATTATTTTTTTTTTTTTATAGATTTTTGCTATAGGGTGTGTGCACTTGCCAGAGAGATAGAGAAAGACAGAAAGCAAGAAATCACCCACCACCCCGGGCAATGGCCATGCCACAATCCCTTCTCTTCCATTCTCCTCTCAGAATTTTGGACATGCACACGCATGTGCCTGGTGTGAGTTTTAAGCCACTGGGTCTGGGATTTGAACCACGGTCGACTACATGGGAGGCCAGCAATGTAATCATTACACTATCTGCTGGTCCCTAACTACCTCATTTATTTTAAATGGAGCATAACTCATCCTACCATGGTCTAGGTGGCTTTGCCTGGTTATGCCACTGAAGCCTCATAATTGTTCAGCAGAATCAGTGCTTAAATCCTGCTTTGCAAATCAGGAGATTGAGTCATGATGAGGTTAACACACTGCTCAGTTAGTTCGTTGGTGTTTGTCTCCAAATTTGTCTATTTCCAAAATCTATGCTGTGTTCTAACTGTGCTTTTTCCATCAAATGGTGGCATCCCTGTTAATATGGCATATAAAGATAGCTATTACTACTATGTGTTTTAAAAAATAATTATGCATAAAAATTTTTTCTCAGTGTGCAGGATCAAGACAAAAAACTTCAAGATTTATGGAGAACATGTCAGAAGTTGCCACCACAAAATTTTGTTAACTTTAGGTATGTATGATTGGCATTCTGTAAACAAAGCCATCAAGCTTCCGTGACTCACTCTAGAGTGAAGACAGAATTAATCCCTAGCAGAGAGGCTATTCAATTCAAGCATTCTTGGCACATTGAACACAACAGAAATGCTCAGAGTGACTTGGGCTGTTTGGGAAATGGGTTTCGATACTGATGTAGCTAAAGCATCAGTATCATGTCTGGTATGAATACCTAAGTTGGCTTATCATTTTACCACTGCGGCTATTAGTACAAAAATTCTTGTAAAAACTTTGGTGACTTATGTTAGGCTTGAAGTCTAAATTGTTCAAAATGTAAAAGGCACAATTAATCAACAGTTGCACTTCCCGTAATTATTCATATATATTACCTAAATTATTTATCATTATTATTATTTTTTTTTTTTATAGATTTTTGCTATAGGGTGTGTGCACTTGCCAGAGAGATAGAGAAAGACAGAAAGCAAGAAATCACCCACCACCCCGGGCAATGGCCATGCCACAATCCCTTCTCTTCCATTCTCCTCTCAGAATTTTGGACATGCACACGCATGTGCCTGGTGTGAGTTTTAAGCCACTGGGTCTGGGATTTGAACCACGGTCGACTACATGGGAGGCCAGCAATGTAATCATTACACTATCTGCTGGTCCCTAACTACCTCATTTATTTTAAATGGAGCATAACTCATCCTACCAAGTAAAGTTTTGAGGAATGGAGATTATATATTATTTTAGGGAGTAAGTATGATTCTAAGAAAATTTACCATGGGACAAACTTCTAGAATTTAACCTCTTTTTTTCTCTTTGACTTGAAATGTAATCTTGAAGAAGCTTAGAGGAAAGAGAAAATGTGGCCTCAGGGATTAAAACCATACAAAGAAAGTCCTTTAAGAAGACTTGGTCAGAAACCACAAATACTTTACAGGTGACATGTCCGCCATGTGTACCTGAAATCCTGTTTTAGGCTCTATCATTAAACTGAACTAAAACATTTCCTTTAATTCCTTAGGTGCCCATCTTGCCTTATGAGTGGGCTGGTATTTAGAATACCTCTCATTGATGAATTTCACAAACATAGAATTGTGGATACTCTTTATCTGTTCAATGTATTATGGGGGGAATTCAATCACATTTCTTAACATATTTTGTTTTTACCTTTTAGTTTGTTTATTTTTCTCTGTAACTTTTATTAATTCTTTTTTAATTCTCATAGTTCAGAATTCAAAAAGTATACAGTGAAAAAAATCTCCTGTTCTTATCCCCCCCACCCCAGTTCTTCTCCTGAGACACAGCCAGCATTTACAGTTTCCTATATATCCCCTCAGCAAGAGTTGATGCATGTGTGAGCAAGTACATGCACGTAATCCTCTGTACATACATATATTTTTCTCTCTCATACTTTATTTTAACCAATTGGAAGTGTATATTGTATACGTTATTCTCCTCCTTGCTTTCTTTGCTTAAATATGAATGTATTTGCTTAATACATTAATTAGAGACTTCTTTTAAAGAATTATTTTTTATTTATTCACTTACTTATTTTAATTTGACCAGAGAGATACACAGAGAGAGAAAGGGAAAATGAGAAAGCAAGCCACCAGATCCAGGACTCGAACTGTGGTCGGCCTTGTGGGAGTGTCCAGTGCCTTAACCACCACGCCACCTGTAGGTCCCCAATTAGAGATTTTTCTATATCAGTACATACGTTTTTGTTGTTGTTGTTGTTGTTGTTGTTGTTGTTTTGAGAGGTTTTTGCTATAGGGCACATGTGCTAGCCAGACAGAGACAGAGAGACAGAAAGCGAGAAATCACCCCCAGGGGGAATGACCATGCTGCAATCCCTTCTCCTCCATTCTCCTCTTGGGATCTTGGGCACGCACGCACATGCGCCTGGCCTGAGTTTTAAGCCACCGGGTCCAGGACGCAAACCGCAGTCGCCTACATGGGTGTCCAGCGACATAGCCATTACGCTAACTGCTGGTCCCCGAGTACATAAGTTTTTTTTAATGGTTAGATAGTGCTCCACTGTACAATATACTGTAATTGATTTAACCAACCTGCTTTTGATAGATAATAGGCTTGTTTTTCTTTTTTTTTCTTTTATGCCACTATGCTTATACATAAGAAAATATATCTGTGTGATAAATTGGATATTTTCATAATTACTAATAAAGGTTCCTTTAAGCAATATACCTACGCTTTATTTTTTATTATGTTTGTATTAAAAATAAATTGAGCCACTATCACATTATAGTTTATTTAGTGGTAGAGTAGATAGGACAAAAAAAAATAGATTAGAAATATGTAACAAATGGAGGTGAATCATTGAGATTTGCGCTATTTCTTTTTGTAAGCCCTCATTGATCCTTTCTGTGAAACAAAAAAATGAGAAATTAGGTAAATGTTTCCCTTGAACCATATTCTGATTGTGTCACACTCTGGAGTTGGTGCCAGAGCAATCTGAGGTTGAGCCCCTGGGCAGAAAGAGAAGATTCCAGCAGGTATTTCAAGGGTGCCACTCTTCCCTCCTTCTCTTTTATTTCACAGGTATTTAATCAAGTTCCTTGCAAAGCTTGCTCAGACCAGCGACGTTAACAAAATGACTCCTAGCAACATCGCGATTGTGTTAGGCCCTAACTTGTTATGGGCCAAAAATGAAGGGTGAGTAATCTGTCCCCATATCATATTTATTTTAATTTCTTCTTTCTACCTGATGGGACAAATAGAAATGTAACTTAAGATCCTCGTTCTAGTTTAAGATGCCCTTTGGCATGCTCTGATGTTGAGTTTTCCGTTCAGCCAACATTTTCAGAACACAGCTATGAGCTGGGTGCTGTCCCAGATGCTGATCACATAAAGGTATAGGAGACATTGTCTCAGTCCTTGAAGGGCCCACACTTTTGGGCAGTCAGGGGGCTCAGTGCTACTATAAAGTGACAACATAAACCCACACATCTCTATATTGTAGAGGATACAAAACTGTCTCCACCCTCTTAGGGTCTCTGGCAGGGCTTGAGAGCTAAATTGACTTAAGACAGATTAACAGCTAAAAAGTATACAGGTTTCGGAGCCAGCAGGTGGTGTGGTGGTTGAGGTACTGGACTCCCACATGGCTAACCGTGGTTCAAGTCTTGGACCTGGTGACTTGCTTTCTCACTTTCTCTCTGTCTCTTTGTCTGTGTGTGTGTGTGTGTGTGTGTGTGTGTGTGTGTGTATGTGTGTGTGTGTGTCTGAGTGTTTCTGGTCAAGACAAATATATATATATATATATATTTTTTTTTAATAATATATAGGTTTGTATATGTTATAGGCACATCCTTAAGAAAATGACCCAGGACCACCACATAGCATGGTAGCTGAGGCGCAGGATTCCCACATAGCCAATTGTGGTTTGTATCTTGGACCCAGTGGCTTGAAAATCACACCAGGCACATGTGTGCATGCGCCTTGTATGTGCATGCCCAAAATCCTGACAGGAGAATGGAGAAAAAGGGATTGTGGTGTGGCCCATTCCTCTGGGGGGATAATTTCTCACTTTCTCTCTCTCTCTCTCTCTCTTTTCTCTCTCTGGCTAGCACACATTCCCTAAGACAAAAACCTTAAAAAAAAAAAAGACTCAAAGAGGCAATTAGAGCCAAGTGCTTATATGAAGGGTTTTTTTAAAAAAAGTTGATGAAAAATATGTATGGTGAAAACAATATACATGGATTTCAAAATTTCTTGCACCAAAATAAGCTCATATTTTAATTCCATTTTTCCATGAACTTTAAAAATCCCCTCATATACTAAGTTGGGCAAAAGTAGTAAATTGTGAAAACAGGACAAGACAGAGGACATAGACAAGGGCAGTGAACTGTGGAGCAATGATGAGAAAGGTAGGGCGTAGCTTAACAAAGTTGGTTTGTACAGGTTTTCCTTGGCTTCAGCTCCCCATTTCTGGTGGTAAGAGTATTTCTTTTGGGCTAGTTTTGGGAAGGCATCTTTCACATGTTAGTTTATATCCTGTTTTCAGGAAGAAAAGGAGGGTGAGAGTCCCCTTCCTGTATTTGCTGTTTTTCAAGTGCATTTAACTCAAAATAATCCTTATGCCAAAGTGGCATACTTTGGAATGTCATATTCTTCCACCCTTTAATATCACAGATATAAAGTATAAGGGCAGCACAGATGAATGAATATAACCCAGACTGAGAAGTTTAGGGAGAGCTCTGGGTTGGAAATAACCCTTGAGCTATACTCTGATGAATTAAGTTTCCTACAGATGGGACCTGGATGAACCAAGGCCTAGCAGGCATCAAAGAGCCTGGTGTCCAGCCTTGAAGGGAATGTCACATGGTCTTGTATAGCTTAATGGGGGACATGAGGCTGTGGCTAAATAGGCCAGAGCTGGTTACAAAGGGCCTCGTGTATCCTGAGGTGTTTGAAACTTATTTTTCAGATCACGGGGAAGCCATCCAGGTTCCTGTGCAGAAGAATGACTTGATTAAACTTGTTTTTAGAAGGATGATTTTGTTGGCAGTGAAGAGTGTAGGATGAATAGAGGAGAGGGGTTAGGGAGATTCCTAGAAACCTCCTGGGAAGTCGCCCTTTGTTGGTGGCATCATGATCTCAGGTAGTGCTTGCAAGTCACTGTCTGAAGCAGGTACTGTTGTCTTAATTTTTGCAGATGAGGAGGCTGAGTCTTAGAGAAGTCAAGAAATTTGTGTAAGGTTACACATCAGGGCAATGGTGGGGTCTAGCTGCTGGCTATAGAACCTATGTCCTTAACCATCACCCTTTCCTGCCTCCTCCAGTTGCCGATCAGCTTCATAAAGTTATGAACCATTCAGGTTTCCCTTAAATTCACAGAGATTGACCCAGCTACAGCGATGAAGGCAGTAGGGCACAAATATGTGATGCTGGAGCCTTATGAAAAGCCCTGGGTTCAGATCCCAGGTTGACCTGAACACACTGGGCACACCCACAGGTGCACACATGCTCGTGGGTGGTTAAGAGGTTGGGGTGGGGATCATGGCATGGTGAGACCCTGTTGAGGGTGCTTGTGCGTGTGTGTGTGTGTATCTCTCTCAAGAAATAACATTTGAAAACCTCAAAAATAAAGTTTTTAAAAATGCATTGAATTTTTGAGTTAAGAGACTTCTGTTCATTCACTCATGTATGCTCAATCTTGTTTCAGAAAATATTTATGAGATTACCTGCAAATACTCAGTATAAAGCAAAATGAAAGATAAATAGACACACATAGTTAATCACATAGATTCTCTCTTACAGCAAACAAATCCCAGGTAAACTAAAGAATTCAATATAAAAAGTTATAAACAAGGCAGGTAAATAATTGTTAATTTTTGGGATAAAGAATTTTCCAAGCATAGAAAAACAGTACAAGAAGCAAATGAATTTTAAATTGGTAGATTTGGCTTTGTAACGACCAGATGCTTCTGAATGTCAGAAAGCATTGTAAACGAAAGGCAATTTATAGACCAGAAGAAAGTTTCCTCAGAAATACTGAAGGGACCAGATGGTGGCACTGTAGTAACACAACTGGACCCACATGAGAGGGTCCAGGGTCCTGGGTCCTGGATTCAAATCTGGGGAGTTCGTACGTGCCAGGTGTGTGCATGTGTGCCCATGATCCATGCTGGTCGAGGTGGGTTGTGGCATGAGGACTCTGTTGGAGAGCCCCCCTTCTCTGGAAAGGAAGGAAGAGAAGAAAAAAGTATGTATCTTCATCCATCCATTCAGAATGAAATGAAAAATCCTGTGAATCAGTAGCCAAATGGTGTGTCTCTTCAAAAGGAAAAATCGGTGAAAGACATGGTGGACAATCCATCCCCACTCCAGCAGGGTTCTAAGGCATGAAGACTGATCAGAATCCAGATGGGAGGAGGATAGGAAGAATAATTTGCAGACAGAGCTTGCATTTTAAGCTGGAATTTGAAAGGAGCTAGATCTTTTGCAAATGAAGCAAACAGGGTGAAGATGTTCTACCAGGAAGAGACATCAGTAACAGTAGGAGAGGAAGGGTTTGAGGCAGTCAGACCTGAGGTCAAAACACACCTCTTGAAATTCAGTGTCCTCATTTATAAAATAGCTCTCATGATGAGTTGTTGTAAAATTAGGCGAAACAAAGGAAAGAACTTGAAGCACTGTAGGTGCTCAATAAATGTCAGGCCTTTGCAGGTGATTTGATTTTATGGTATTCTGCCAAATGGAATATGAGCTTGACAGCAGGGATAGCGCTTATTGTTGTTTGTTTTGTTTTTATTTCTTCTATGAACAAGAGAGAGAGAAAGACAACATCCCAAACAGGGTCCTTGTGCTGCAACCCTGCTGCTGTTATGGGGCATGAGTCCTCATACCTGGCATGTTCAGGCAGGTGGGCAGACACGAACCCTGGGCCTTCCCATGTGGGTCAACCTCACAGGGCCTGATGTTGCTTCTGCACCATCTTCCCCTTGGGCCCTGGCTTCAACATCTGAACACTCACTTTGGACCAGTCCATATATACGATGACCTGTGTACACATGGAGGCTCAGGTTTTCTGGTATAATAGGAGATACTTGTCACAGAGCACAGTCTTGGTGGAATTCTAGGCAGAATTGGGTTTTGGTAACTTTTCTTCTTCAGTAACCACTGCCACATGCATAGCACAGGCAGGACCTTGTGGATTTCATTTTTGCTGGTGTACTGTAAATATTTTATGCTTTAAAAGGAACTGAATTGCCCTGACACAGCCTATAGGAGTTAGAAGCTAGCCCAGGAAACAAAAAAGTTCTCATTTTGTGAACTTCCTTTGTAGAACGCTTGCTGAGATGGCAGCAGCCACATCTGTCCACGTGGTGGCCGTGATTGAGCCCATCATTCAGCATGCTGACTGGTTCTTCCCGGAAGGTAACTGTCATTTCAGCTTCATTAGCTGCCAAGGCAATAGGATGATAGTATAAAAAGTCTTCTTAAAGTAGAAAAATGCATGCATCATCCATCCTGATTACATAATTGGTTTCGCTTTTCACATTTTTTTGTAGACTTTGTTCATCTGTATTCGTATTTCGACATAATGGTAATCATATAATTTTGTAGTTCACCTCGTTTCATAAAATGTGTACAGCCAGTGTATCTGGAATACCCGTTAGGTGCTCTGTGTTTGCTGGTAAGACATGCCGTCTTCCGAGGAGGAACTCAGGCCACTGGAGAAGGCGGCCACATAAAATAAATCGTAACACACGGCAAATTAGAAGATGGGGAGTTGGATGGAATTGAAAGAAGGGAACCAAGAATGGATTTATAGGAGAGGTGACCTTGAGTAAATGGGACCGTTCCACTTCAAAGAGGGCTTTTTGTTTCTTGGACTGGGTAGTTCAATGTGTGCAAACGTGGAAAATAGAAAGGGTTGATGGAGGTCAGTTTGGGAAGGACTGACGTGGCGGTGTCAGAGAACTAGGATTTCATCCTACACATGACAGATTTTCAAGCTAGGTTTGCAGCCCTGGGATCCAAAAGGGTTTCCACGGCTTCCTTTGAGGTTACTAGGAGTTTGAATCTTCCACTCCTACTCCCCCAGAACAGCCCCACTGTCACATCTTGTCAGGGCTCCCCGGGACCATGGCCTTCATGTCATAAAGAAGAACACTCATGGAGTCTGCCCAATAAGGATGTGATGGATGGATTTGTATTAGCATTCCACCCAAGATTTCCTTGAGAAAATGATTCTTGCAAAACCACTATAGGCAATATGGACCTGATATTGTCTGTTATCTCTATTTATGTCAAAGTTTAAATAACTTAGTTTTATAATGATTCATGTAAGTAATGTATGTTCAGTGTCCCCTTCTGTATTGTATGACTTTTTTTCATAAAAGGGAAAGCAGGAGAATTGTATCACTTTTATTCTGCATCGTATCTCCTTCTCCTTACCTCTAACTCATTCTCTTATTTTATGTCTCTCTGGTCTAATAAACCTTTTTCTTTCTATTTTTGTAAGACAGGGTCTTGCCATGTCAGGATCCTCTTACCTCAGTCTCCTAGCTAGCACGGCGGGTACATATCACCACACCCAGCCTCTTTTCAGACAGAGTCTCACTATGTTGCCCTAGCCAGTCTTGACCTGCTGATCTCATGCCTCCGTCCCCTCGAGTTGCTGGGGTTATGGATACAAGTCATCATCCTGGCCTTCAGGTCGGCCCAGGAATCAAAGCCTGGGCCCCCATGTGGTCCCAATCTGCAGAGCACAGCATCTTAGCAGTACGCACCTCTGGGACTGGGACTGGGACTAATAAACCATTTTTGAGATGAGACTGCCTGGGGCTTCCACTTTGAGATAATGAGGGCTTGAGGATTGAGAAATGAAATTTAAGTTCCATTGGGGTGTTTTAGATCTCCCTTGACGCCTGTGCTCTCTGACTCACGCACTTGTTTGTTTTTCTTCTTGCAGAGATAGAATTTAATGTATCAGAAGCATTTGTACCTCTCACCACCCCAAATTCTAATCACTCATCCCACACTGGAAATGACTCTGACTCGGGGACCCTAGAGAGGAAGCGGCCCGCCAGCATGGCAGTGATGGAAGGGGACCTGGTGAAGAAGGAGAGGTATGTTTAGAGCTCTTGACTTCCAGACCAGCAGTAGGTGTTTGTAGAAGAATTGTTAGACCTGCTGTGTCTGGTATTGACTTGATGGACTTGCGATTTGAGTGGCCCATCTGCACCCACAACTGAGGACAGTCCAGGCAATATTAGGAATTGTGCAGTGGGTCATTCCAAGCCCTCATCTGACCATAGAGCTGGTACTCCACTTGCTGTTTACATTTGTACCCCAGAGGCACGAGACTCACCTTTACTGTCTGTGGTAAGCCCTGTGTGGACCATCCGTATACACATGCTACAAATTTACCAAAATGTACTTGACTAGGGAGAAAAGGGAAAAGAAAAATAATTAAATAGTGTGGACTTTTGTCCAGGATCGAGTGTGTCAAAAACCTATCTCTTCCAGTGAATTGGGTGGTTCGATCATTAAAGAGACATATTTTGGTATACAAATTGGTTTACCAGTAGAGCAACCACTGCATTGGATGTTCAGCTGGAGAAACCTCAGTGTTTGTCAATTCTACAAGAGAAAATTGGCTGTGTTGAGCCTAGTGAGAGGCAGTGTGTCCATCCTGTGTTCTACAGGCATGGGCTTTTCAGGGGTAACCAAGAGTATTTGTGATTTTGACTTCAGATGCCAGCCCAGCCAGCGTGTGTGCTGAAGTGCCACGGTTTTCCCTCCTTAAGCTAAGAACTAAGAGGCCTTTTTGAAGTAATGTGCTTTTCTTACATACATATAATATGACTGGAAAGTAGTTTCATAGTAAAACTAAACAACAAGCTCTTATTTTAGCTGCCCCGTCTTATAGTAAGGGTTTTTTGTTTGCTTTGCTTTGTTTTGGGTTTTCTTTTCTTAACCCACAGCAAAAGAAAATGGTGTATTTCCTATCCTGTCACTCTGATAGCCTCATTTCTTCTGTGCAGAAGTTTTACTAATCTGAATCCTCATTCTCACATTCAGTAGTGTTTCTTGATGGCAAATTCTACCCATAACAAAATTAGCTTTCGTTTATTCTAAGTTACAAAATGCAATACTCTGAGTCTAATTACCATATGACAGATAATTCTCAGTTATCTGCCTGGGCAGAGTCCCCCTGTCAGCTGACCCAATAAGCACAAACTCCACATATATTTTAATTTTTTGAAATGGAACAAAAAAGTTTTCCAGCTCATCCACCAATGAGCTTACGTGAAAAGTGAGTCTTTTTTTTACCCTGTCCTCCAATTATTCCCTTCCCTAAAGCAACTATTTTTCCCAGTATTGTTTGTGTGTTTTGCATATATATATAAGTAAATGCTTCTTCTTTTTTTTTTTTTCTTGGAGAGGTTTTTGCTATAATGCGCTCACCAGAAAGAGAGAGACAGCAAGACAGAAAGTGAGAAATTACCCCCCAGGGGGGATGGCTACGCCATAATCCCTTCTCCTCCAATTTCCTCTCAGGACCTTGGGCACACACGCACACGCGCCTGGTGTGAGTTTAAGTCACCGGGTCCAGGCTTGAACTGCAGTCGACTACAGGGGAGCCCAGCAACATAGCCATTATGCCAACCGCTGGTCCCAGCATAAGTGAATGTTTATACATTCCATTATTTTTCATTTCTTTTTCCTTTATCAGAAAGATGGGGGCAGGAAAGAGAGAGGAGAAGGGAGAGAACAGAGAAAGGCACTTGTGACGGGGTCTCACTGAATTGAGATTCTCCCCCAGCCTCCCAGTTAGGGAAGTTTATAGGCACATGCAGTCACGCCCAATTTGTTCAAGTTGACCAGGAGCCGAACCCCGGCCTATCATGTGGCTTCTAGCCTCCCGAGAGGCTGGGCCTCTACAATTCATCTTACCTAACAATGTGGCGTGTTGACCTCCCATTGCCACTGGTGGGCCTTCTGGAGTTAGCTTCCCCCTCGCTCCCCCCTCATTACCCCCACACTCAGATCTGAGTTGGGAACTAGGTAGCGTGGAGATAAACACGTTAACATCATACAGAATGAGGCCTGCTGCTTGCTTTCAGCTGCTCATACCCCACTTGATCAAAGACATTGATCAGTATCAGGTCTGTTGGCTTTGCTCCAGTTTAAAGCCAACTTGAGCTGCTTGCCTTGGTAATAGGGATGATGGTGAACCTGGTCCTTGTCGCTTCACTGCATGCTAGGCAACTTGGGTGACTGTCCTGTGTGTGTTTTCAACACACGTGGACTGGGCTTCTGTCTCAGTCATTGGCTTGCATGGTGTGTTGACTGTTTCTTCTCTCCGTGTAGCTTTGGTGTGAAGCTTATGGACTTCCAGGCCCACCGGCGGGGTGGCACTCTAAATAGAAAGCACATAGCCCCTGCTTTCCAGCCACCACTCCCACCCACAGATGGCAGCACCTTGGCTCCAGCAGGCCCAGAGCCTCCTTCCCAGGGCTCTAGGGCTGAAAGCAGCTCAGGGGGTGGGGCTGTCCCCTCCTCTGCGAGCATACTGGAGCAGGGGCCAAGCCCAGGCGACAGCAGGTAAGGAGCTGACTTCTGCTGTCTGTGGAGGCTGGATACCCCAGCCTTCATGACTTTGGGCGTGGCATCCATGCCCAAAGAATCGCTCCAGTGTGGAGTGAACCAGGTTCGCTTTCATTCTTCCATTTGACAAAGGATGGGGGAAAAAAAGACTGTAAATTGCTTGCTTCCTCTTCTGTTTTCAAAAGAAAGCAACATTTGTTTGCATTCTTTGCCATGTCGCTTGGTGCTGGAAGCCAGTAGGTATCTGGCAGTATGATCAACCCCTTTTACCTGTCTGATGTGTACTGTCAGTGTCATGTACCAAATTCTTGTCATCTAGCCCGCTAACCAGTAAGCATTTGAATGTAGCAAGTTAGTCAAGTTATAGTATTGCTGTGTTAATCCATTAATTATCAAATGTTAATTCACTAAACAGTTTTTGAGCAAGTAATATGTACCAGGCACTGTACTGGACAGTGCCCCCATCTCCAGCTTTCAGTGTTGTAGAGGATTTGAAAATAAGATGTAGGTGTCCTTAAAAAGCTCTTCTGGTTGCTTAGCCTTTGACAAGCCACCTGGAAGAATGGACTGCACATGTGTAACAACTTTAAGAAAAGGTGCCAGGCTAGCCCCATGGCCTAGTGTTTAAGAAAGCCAGATTCCTGAGTGGTCCAAATCCCAGACCTAGTGGCTTGAAAAACATGCTGGGCACAAGTGTGTGTGTGCCCAAAATCTCAACAGGATGGAGAAATGGAGAAGAAGGGATTGTGGCATGACCACATCCGTTGGGGGATGCTTTCTCCTTATCCCTCTCTCTGTCTCTATGACTGTCTCTGGAGAGCACACACACCCTCTGGCAAATGAAGGGATGAAAGGAAAGGAGGGAGGAAGAATGCCTTTGAACTTCAAGTTTTTATTTAATTTGTGTTAGTTCAGTTCTCTACACTAGTCCAAGCAAGTGACCACTAGAGTCCACTGCAGGTGGTATCTCGTGTGGTTCAGAGCCAGCAGCTGCTGTGTGGAAAAGATGAGCCCTGCTACAGTTTTCATTGGTATTTGCTCTACATCATCCATCCACAAATCACCAAATTTATCATATGTGAAGTAAAATAAATATGCATAAAGCAAGGGTAGCCTACTTATCTATGCACTGTTTTTTCCTATACAAAGAGATGAGTTTGCCTTGGGAGAACCCGCTTTTCTCCTCTTTCTTGGAGTGGGCAAGGGAGAGCCCTGTGGTGTGTGAAGTTGCTTATGAGATGAGACTCTGGCTCAGTCATCAGAGCTGACTTCTGAGGAAGTTCTCTTTTCCGTTCAGAACAAGGAAGGTTTTAAATGTCACAGGGCTTCCTCTGTGCTTCCTGTGCTCCATGTTGGCTTATCAATGGCTGCCACCCATACCTGTATGTGTTTTGGTTTAAGTTCTTTAAGTTTGAGGAAAAAAGCATAAGCAAATTTACACATTTTCATTTGAGTATAGCACTCAATTTGTTTAGTCAAACAAGACAAAAAAATCAAAGACATAAAATAGTATTTAAGATAATAATCTTGACCATTGAAGAACAATAAAATGTCAGTTATCAATTTGCTCTTTGCTTTCGAAATCTAGATATTTTTGTGTACATTTCACTAGTGGCATTCATTGTTTGGTGACCTTGACAAAGGATGGCTGTTAACGTTTGGTATAAAAAGTTCTGTACCAGGAAGTAGAAAACCTGAGTTTTTCTTTTTTTAAGTTTATTAATTTTTTTCCTTGAAAGAGAGAGAAAGAGAGCAGCACCCTCAACCAGGTCTTCATGCCGTCTCAGCTAGCCAAGATCACAGGCAGCATGCATGCATGCCTCTCGTGCTCAGGGTGGTGCCAGGACACGAGCCCAGGACCTTTCCCACGTGAAAGGCCCTGGCAGCCTGAGTTCTGATCTCTAGCCTGCTACTCCCAACTCTGGGCTTGAAGTGATCATTTGGCTCTCGGAGTTCCTCTCTTTTCAAGTCTAAATTATTGATCACAATTGAGCCCTTTATTATTTAGAATGTTATTTTGCTATAGTTATTGCTAGTTTTGTACAATGTATATGTTAAAATCCAAAAGCCCTTTCATGTTTTAAAATAGTGCCCAATCTAAGTGCCAGCAAAGTAGACCCCGCAGTGTCTCACTGGTTCCTATGAAATGGTCTCTGTCCTGATATTTCAGTGGCAGAGTAGTCAGAGGCCAAGCTAATGTTAGGAATTTCTTTTTGTTTTTAAATAATTATTTAATTGTAGTTATTCATTCATTTATTTTAATTTGACCAGAGAGAGAGGGAGAGTAATAAAGCAAGCCGCCAGGTCCAGGCCTCGAACCGTGGTCAGCCATGTGGGAGTGTTGAGCGCCTTAATCACCACACCACCTGATGGTCCTGAATGTTAGGAATTTCATAAAACAGGTAGTCCGAAGTGGCACAGAGTAAGCATTAGCTTTATAGACTCAGTGTGTACTATTTAAGTTTCAGATTGTCTCCTTATCTATCAAGAGGAAACCTTGCTTAGCATCTTATATTTATGGTGTGTTTAGCATTTCTAGCTGGGACTGCCTAGCATCTAACTGGGCTTTTACTCCCCTTAGTCCTCCCAAACCCAAGGATTCTGTATCTGCCGCATCTGCACCAGGGAGAAACAGCAGCCAGATAAGCACTGGACAAAACCAGGCACAGGCGACTGCCAGCTCCCATCAGCTCTCTGCAGGCCCCGCACATGGTGCCGCTGGGCCTAGCCCTCACACGCTGCGCCGAGGTGAGTAGCGCTTTACTCTATCCTTGGAGAGGGGTGTGCAAACCTCCCGAGTTAGTGCTAAGACTTAGGTTATGACCTTTTAATGTTAAATTCATGTATCTTTTCTTCCATGAGCAAGAGAAAGGCACAGAGAGAGATGAGACCTAACACCTTGACACATTCCCAGCCCAAGCGTGGGCATGCACATGCCCAGTGTATTCAGGGAGGTTTCCAGATGTGAACCCAGAACTTTCCACCCAGAACCACATGGGTCAGCCCTGCAGAGCATTACATTCATTCGGCCCCAAGTTGTGAGGCTTTTGGACAGATCTTTTCCATATCTTTTGTGAAGGGCAAGTAGGGAAAGCAATGTTAAAGAAAAAAAAAATCATTTAAGAAAAATGAAAATCTGGATGACAGATGAGCAGATATTTAAGAATGTATTTTTCTGTAGGAGGTACAAAGCTTAACACAAAAACAGTTATTTCTTCAAAAATGCTCCCAGTTTTCAGGGACTCTGATGTTCTAAGCCATCACTCTGGGAACCACCATGGCCTCTGTGTTACCCAGGATTTGCAGGTCTGCTGTGGTCTGTGTCCTCTAAATTTAGATCAGGACTTCCTAGAGCCTGATGAACATAATCGGAACTGCCCTGACCCTTCTCCCCTGTGGCTCCCCACCTAGCAGTTGGGGAGAAATTCTTGAAAACACAAAGGAGATCATGTCTTTTCTTGTCTTTTCTTTCCAGCAGCTTCTATGCAAACTTCCCACCCAGGAGGACCCTGCATAGTCTGGCTGGGGCCCACCTGAGTCCAGCTCAGCACACTCCTCTCAGCACACTCCGACTTCCCACCCAGGAGGACCCTGCATAGTCTGACTGGGGCCCACCTGAGTCCAGCTCTTATATTCTTCCTCCTCTCAGCACACTCCATTTTCTGTTCCTTGGATATACTGTGCTCATCTCCCCTTAGAGCCTTTGCACTGTTGCTTTCTCTTCCAGAAGATTCTGTGCCATATCTTAACACAGTCCTTTCTATCTCATTCAGGTCTCCATTCTAAGGTCATTTCCTCCTTAAGCTCCTGACTGACCCCCAGTCTGGATTGGTGACCAGTTCCCATCCCCACCATACACATTCTTTTGAAACATTTCTCTGATGTGAAATTTTCCTACTTGTTTTCAGCTATTGCCAGTCTTACAAAGTAGTTCTTACTGAGCAGGGATCTTCTCTGTCTCATGTACTTTGCCTGGCACAGAGTGGGCACTCAGGAGTGGGCACTCACTCTGTGAGTCTGTGGTATCTGTGGTCTAGTTGCCTCTCAGGTCAGAAAACTAGATTTTACTTTCCTACCCCAGAACAGTTGGTAACATCTGGAGATAATATTGGTTATCACAAATGGGGAGGGGTACTGTGGCATCTAGGGGTAGAGGCTGGTAAACACCACAATGCACAGGACAGCCCCCCTACAACAAAGCATTATCCAGCCCAAAATGCCAGTAGTGCTGAGATGAAGAAACCCTGGCCTAGAAAAGGACATGAACTACAGGAGATGAGAAAATCCTTCCACGATCTGAAGGAAGAAATGGACACGCTAAGAAAAAATAAGATGAAAATATTAGAGGTGAAGTCTGTAATGCAGGAAATCAAAAACTCTCTTGAAAGTATTAAAAGTCGATTAGAACATGTTGAATCTATGATGTGGAAGATAAAACTTCTGACCTAGAGAAAACCATCAAAAAGATAGAGAAAAATAACAAAAAAAACCCATGAAGATAACATACAAGAAATACTAGATTCCATTAGACGTCCTAACATCCGAATAATTGGTATCCCAGAAGATGAAGAAACTAATAAGGGCATGGAAAACCTATTCCATGAAATCTTGGAAGAAAATTTCCCAAGTATAGAGAGGCACTCAAGCATCCAGACCCAAGAAATACAAAGGACCCCAAATAGAATTAACCCAAGAAGATCTTCCCCAAGGCA